CAGATTAGGCTACTAAATGGATTGTACTAAACTGAATTTTTGAATATTTCTAGGATAAAGAGTTACCTATTTTTGTATGATATCTTAGATATAAGGATTTTAAAATTATTTCTTTTATATTCCAAGAGAGATGCTATATTATGAACAGTTCCTAGCAACCTTACTTATCCAGTCATGTTAAGTAGTATTACTCACTTTTCAAATGTTCGTATCTGAATGGTAGGGACCAGTGAATGTTACCCATAGCTTTCTAGATGGATACTGGATTTAGTCCTTTGCTTTTATAAATTTATGAAATCAACTGCTGGGACATAAATCTTTCCTACCATTCACATTATGAATTCATGCAGGAAATTTTGAATCTATAAATATGTATCTATCTTTATATATCTATATGTCTACACACACACTCACAAACTTATTACACATTGACAGCTATCATCTGGCTGTCAATATGCAATATGCATCTGTCTTTGCATTGAGCTTTCTATATATTTTCTAAGAGACATTGGTTTATTAATTTGTTTTTAAATGCATCTGCTACTCAATCCAATAACTCTAGGCAATTTAGAGAATATATCCTGGAACAAGCAGATTTAAAATACCAATTTCAATTACAATTATGCACATATGAAGGGAACAAAGAGGATGATAGATATTATCCGTCAGTATTGAACATTATCCTATACATATGTATACATTTTGGTGTACATTATTTATCCTTAACTATACTACTTTCCTTAAATGTATTACTATTAAATATAAAGTACTACTTTGTCCCTTAAGTAAAGCAAAAATGTTTGTATCATTTCCTTTGAAAACAGCTAATCTCAGACTATGAGGAAGCAGTTTCATCGCAAGCATTATCTTCCTAGCATTGTTTGAAGACTGCCATCTAATGGGTAAGACTGGAGACAAAAATATTTTATTAGCTACATATTATATGCTGGGTATCCTTGCTAAAAATTTTCAGCCTAACTTTTTGTTTATCAAAAATTATTAATTCCGGTGATTATAATAGATTTATATGTTTATTTAATTATTTTAAATTTTATATTGTTGTTTTGTTTGTGTTTTTAAACAGGCTGTACACCGCCCTGAGTCCTTCGGGAGAAGGGCGGTATAGAAATAATATTATTATTATTATTATTATTATTTAATCATTATGCTCTCATTTTTCTGAAAAGTCAGTATATTTTATTTTATTTTCTGTAGAATTTTTGTTTCCAACAATATTTCATCAGAATGTCACACAGGTTAAGAACAAAATACTAAAGGTGGATGTTTTTAACCAAACTTTTTGTCTTTCCCAGAAAGTTATTCAGAGAAAATAAGAATTCTATTCGGTTCAAATGAACGGAATGTGTAATAACTCTTTAAACTAAGCTGCTGACAGAAAAGCAATGCTTCATGCCATTTTGCAATCTTTACAAAACTGGGTGCCATTATTATTATTATTTTGGGTGGAGGAAGCAAGATTACTATATAGCCTTGGGGTACTGCAATTCATGTAAATAATGTGAAAGTGAAAAATATGTCTCTTTCTAAACCTACAGTGCCACCCATTTATTAAAGGCCAAATCTCATTGTGTCTGAGTTCACACATGCTAAGGCAGAATCAAACAAACCATTTTGTGACCATATATATTCAAATTAAATTATACAAATCCTTGTGTATATAATAGAATCTAAACCATGTTTGAATATTATTTAATAAAAAGACAGGAAGCTATTTTTCCCTCAGATTGGAATATACTAAAAAGAATATTTAATTCCTTTCACTCATGTAAACCTGATGAAAATTAAACTTTCTCAAATGCCTTGATTTATTATCTATCATAAAATTGGTGTTGATTACTACCTCATAAATAAATTTTCTTCAGAACAATCTGTTCCCAACCTGGCTCTTCCAGGTTTTTCCAAGATAGAGCCTACAGACTTTTTAAAAAATAAACTAACAAATTTAAGGACTTTCAATGGAAATGAAACAATTTCAACAATTGTGACCCATTCATTTTATTCATTTTTATTTATTTTCATTTTGTTTTGTTTTGATACAGAAATTCATTTATAATCCACCATGTTTTACAACTTCCCAATTTTTACGTCCATTCATTTCTCAATGATCTCCTAAGAACAAAATCTCATCTGCATACTTAGACTGGAATAAACCTGTATTGGAAACAGGTTTAGAAGTTTGGAAACTGTATTTTCCAAATTCTGTTCATGTTACCTCCTGAATTTTCCAATCAGAAGTTTGCCAAATACATTCTCAGGCACACCTAATACCCAAATCACCCCCAGTATTCACTTTAAGAAAAAAAAAATCAAGGAACAATAATGATAGTTAAATAATGATATTCTTCCAGTTCTAAACTGGGATACAATTTACAAATGCACATACACATTAAACAAGTGCAAAACTTTTCCATAAGGAAACTGCACATATATTTTTATATTCACTTATCTTACTTTAGTCTTGCTATTTTTCAATATTCTCACAGCATTCATTACTTTTTATCAGGTTTTTCCTTCTGGGATACTGAATTTATAGTTTCAATTCTACTCTTTGATATATATCTACCATTCCCAAGCAAAATTTCCAGAATGGTCTATCCAACATTCTCTCACTTCAATTTCACCACAATCATCTCTTTATTTTCATTTTGAAAACTATTTATGCTATTGGAGGCCCATTTATCTCTTCATTTCCTTAAAATTTCAATCAATACTGCTTTGCATTTTTTTCTCCATCTTTTAATCTGAATCATTGCTTTTTTTTCCAACTATCTCTTCCTTTTTATAAACAGTATAACATACTATCAGTGTCGTTTCATGTTGAAATCAGTCTTACATTTTTCTCATCCCCACAGGCTTTTTCACTATTATTCTACTAGACATCATATTTAATATTTAATATTAATTATATTTCATTTTTATATGCGGCCTACAAACAAATATCACCTGGTGAAAAAAGGCAATGAAAATGCATTTCTTTAATTTGCTGCTCTTTACTATTTACACCATTTAAAATCTCAGTCACTGTCTTCCTTAGGCCATGTTATCACTGGACAATCACATGGATATTGACCTACATCACCTACATATCATCATTATGGGATGATATACTTTTTCATAAGATAAAGAAAGCATAGAACACTTTACCAGTTTTAGACAATCTGTTCTGCATGCAGCATTCCCTCCTAATGATGACAAATGCAGCTCCAGAAGATCCGGGACCACCCTCCAATTGCCCTAGAGACAATGTTGAAGGGGTGTCACAGACCAATCCCACTAACTGCCGGTGTCCAGTGGCCACCTCGCCAGGTGCCAAAGGATTCACCTCAGGCTGCACCTGGAAAACATCAGCCCTGGCTGAGTCCCCCAAAGGAACAGAAACTTGTGCCTGCTTACTAACTTTGTCAAACTGACATTCCAATGCCTTGTGATGCCTTTCTGCGTCCTTGTCATCCCCCATGGCCCTTTTAGAAGGCTTAAAGGTTGAGGCCTTATCCTTAATCAATTTGCTTTTGGATGCCGCCTTGGATCACTGAGAAGCCGAATGCTTCGCTTTGTGCACCTTGGGGGGCGGTAGGCTCATGTTCAATGTCAGAAGACAGGGCAGAATCTGCCATGACTTCGTGATCCAGAAGACAGCACAATAAAACCAAATAGACTAGACTTGTCCAAATACAAAGTCATTAGCCCAATTTAAGGAATTAGAAAGAGAGAGACCCAGACCCTTTCTAGGATCACCCTCAAATTAGTGCTGTTGGAGAAACAGCCAAATGGACTTGGCTTCAATCACCTTTCCTCCTCGAGCTATCAAAATGGCGGCACTGTCTTCGAAAACCACTTGTCTCCTGAGGGCTGTCACAGGAGGGAGAAACCAGCTGTAGCAGCAGCAGCAGGAACCAGGCGCAGGAGGGACAGAGCCCCTAATGCACGCTGCTTTGCAAGGCTCAGCTTAGATCAAGTCCCAGAGCCCGTGGCAGTTCAATAAGGCCTGAAAACTTCAAAGCTTCCAAATTCGCTGCCGCAGCTTGAAACAAAAACAAAATGAGCCAAGGTGGCACAGTGGTTAGAGTGCAGTACTGCAGCTAGTTCAGCAGGTCAGCAGATCAAATCTCACTGGCTCAAGGTTGACTCAGTCTTCCATCCTTCCAAGGTGGGTAAAAATGAGGAGCCAGATTTTTGGGGGCAATATGCTAATTCTAATGCAATATGCTAATATGCAATATGCTATATGCTAACTTTGTAAACTTTGTAAACCACTTAGAGAGGGCTGTAAAGCACTATGAAGCGATGTAGAAGTCTAAATAATAATAATAATAATAATAATAATAATAATAATAATAATAATAAATGGCAGGCGCGAGCGAGGGACTGGTCCTCAGCGCCGCCGCGGCCTACTGTCAAAAATGGCACAAAGGCTTAAATTGCCTTCCCAGTGCTGCAAAGTGAGTTCCTGGACACGGAATTTGCCCTGGCTTGCCAGGCAGTGACTCTGGAGCTGTTAAGGATAGGGCTGCGGGGGTGGTGATGTGGCGGTTGTGCCAGCAAGCCAGGGAACCAGCACACCAGCAGCAGCAATCAAAGGCACGGAGCTGCCTCAAGAGAGGCAGACCTCCAGCAAGCTGCTTGTTTTAAAATTCTGAGTGGTGGAAGTGAACTGGGGCCCCAGGCATGCTAATCACACCGCCAGCAACTGTAAATTCATGTTGTGCAGCCCTACCTGTAAAGTCCAAAAAATGAGTCCGAGATAACCAAGTCCAAGAAATCACAGTCCAAATAAACCAAATGAGAAAACTGACAATGTCAGAGAAATCCAACTCAAGTCTCTTCAGCTAGACTGAGTGAAAAGACTGAAGCTCAGGAGCAGGGGATGTGGCTAAACCAGCGGTTCTCAACCTGGGGGTCGCGACCCCTTTGGGGGTCGAACGGCCATTTCACAGGGGTTGCCAAAGCCCTCTCTTGCCCCCCCCCACGTCTTCACTCACCTTCACCCTCTGCCTCTGTTGGATCGCCCGGTCGCCATTCGCTTACCCCGCCCACTCCCAATCTATTGCTGCCTCTGAGTCCCAGCTGATGGCTAGAGGGAAAAAAAAACTTTAAATTCTTGCCGTGGGGCTTCAAAGAGCTAGCTGCAAAGAGGTAAATTCCTGGAGCAAGTTATGCTGAAAAGAGAAAGCGAAAGCAGGGTCTTAGCTGCAATGTGACAAAATGAGGCAGAGAGATTTCTTTTTCTTTTTCCTCACCAAAAAAGGTAGGTACAAAACTGCAAACAATGGGAAATTTAGGGCAAGAGGAGGTTCAAGATTTTAAAACACAAAAGAAAAAAAGCTCTATTTAACTAGGGAATTGTAATAATTGAGATACTATTAATTGTATATTGTGTTGAAAGCAGAAATGGTTAAATTGTGGTTTGGAGGAATATATGGGGGAAATTATTTGGTTTATTATTATTGGTAAATATAATTAATTGATTTGTAAGAAATTGGATTGCATGGAAATAATTGGAATATTCATGTTCATATTGATAAATGTACAAAAAAGATAGTTATATAACTAATTGATTTATATTAAAATGTTGAATTTGTATTAAACAATTGTATTACATAATTAACCAATGTGAGGATGGATATAAAATGGATATAAAAATAGATGACAATGCGAAGGGGTATAATATAGAATAGAAGGGAAAAATTGAATTTGATTAAGATTAGAGATGAGGATGAAGGGTAATATTGGTTTTTTTAAAAAATAGATGAGGAATAAATATGGTAAAAAGGAAATATAGAAATTGTAAATTTAATTGAAATGACTAAATACTGTGTTGGAAAAAATATCCTTCTGGGTTCTGCTCCAAGTGGGGAAAAAGACACTGGAAACATGGAGACTGCTTGGAAAGATGTTTTAATGGTGGACAGGATCACATGGCTTGATGGGGCCCATTGTGTTAGTTTCTGTTGCTATTGTGTTGCAAATGTCCTTTGACAAAGGATTGACTTTCTGCCTCTGGCCCATTAACAAAGGGTGGGGGGCAGGAAGGTGGGAGCTGCTTTGTCTGTAAAATATGCTTCTCCATTTCTCATCCAGGTAGGGAAATATAATATTCTGCCTTTTTAATATTTCCCAAAATATTTCATTCTTCTAGGAAAGGGGTGGGTGCTAACCTCCTACAACTGTTTAAATTTGTGGACCGGCCAAATACTCTGTTCAAAGAAAATACGTTGTATGTTTGTATGTGTGTTTCTAATTATTGCTATTTATTCCTATTGTTCTCTTTTATTCTTTAAAGTTTAACAATTCATTCTTTATCTTAATATCTTTATATTTGTTTGGGGTTGGCTTTCTTCCCTTTCATCTTTTTTATTGTACAGCAATCTTTCTCCTCAAACCTACCACTTCTGTCTTTTCTTTCTTACTTACTTTCTCTTCCCCCCCTCTTCTTCTCCCTACTTCTTCTTTCTCCTTCTCCTCCTCTCTTCCTCCCTCTCTTACCTTCACTCCTATTCTAATTTCCCTTCCCTTCCTTCATCTCTCTCTATTGCTGTATCCTTTTATGCATATGGACTACTCAGAGGGCTGAAAAAGTTATTTTTGACTGGTCCTCGCACTTTTGACCAGTCCTCGAATTTACGACTGTCCTCACATTTTACGTTTTTTGCCCTATCTTATACCATGTTGAAGAGAAGCAGTTGTGAAATGAGTGACATGGTTGGTAAGAATGCTGCACAGGCATAAATGTGAGGATGGTCATAAGTGTGAGGACCAGTCAAAAGTGCGAGGACCTGCCAGAAATGACTTTTTTCAGCCCTCTGAGTAGTCTCTATACACATAGCCATGGCCACTCGGTCACATGACCAGGTAGCCACACCCACCCAGTCACATGACCTCCAAGCCACGCCCACAAAATAAGCCACGCCCACAGAACCAGTAGTAAAAGAAATTTAGAAGCCACCCCTGGTTGGGGGTCACCACAACATGAGGAACTGTATTAAAGGGTCGCGGCATTAGGAAGGTTGAGAACCACTGGGCTAGACCAACGGAAAAACTTTGTACACTCAGTCTCTAGCAAAGCAAAAGTGAACACCCATGCGTGGAATGTCAGAGCAGCAGGACTGGAAAATGACTTAGTAATATAATCTTAAACATCTGATTAATACACCCCTCTTCCCTTTTTAATATTAATGTGAATTAGGGGACTGTCTATTTGAGATATCAGTGTCTGGATTTTAGCAGTGTTTCTCTTTTGCTTGCTTTAGTAATCAAACTTCCCTGTGTCCACCAAGGACATCCTATGTATTCTCTACAATTTCTATGGTTATCTCTCATCCTCTCATGTTCCCTTGTACTATTGCAGGACTTATTGCTTTATTTTCTTTGTGTCTTAATAGAGCTTTCCTCACTCACACTCAGTCTTCAAAAAAACATTTCCTGGCAATATTTTATTTCCGTAGTATAGATTTCATTCTGTCTCCAAGAAATGAGTTCCTTAGCTATTCCAGTGTTGCAGCATTTCCTCCTTATTCTAACTCCCATGTAAGATGAACTTTAAAAGCTGTACAAGGTATTAGGCTTTTTCATCCTTAACCTTGAAGGAAAATCAGATCTACATTAAAACCAGCTTAATAATTATCACTGCAGTTGCAAACATTATTGATGACATACAGAAATGCCAAGATGTAAAATATACTTCCTCTAGAGTTGTATTGCCACAGCTTTAAGCAAACTATAGTCTTTAACATATCAAAGGTAATGCTCATATTACTGAATCAGTATTTGCTTTTTATTGTAAATAGCCAGAAAGCCCAAAGGTAAACAAACAAGTTGACAATAACGTAATATGATATTAAAATTAAGTAATGATAGCAAAAGCAATATAACAATATAAATGACACTACTTTCCAACTCCCTCTTTAAGATTGTAAATTATTTGCCATTATGCATGAATTATATATTCATGACATTTTTGCAATATAAAGAGAAAAAAAAGCACATATCTGGCCTCTCAGCTAATGTCACAAGGATCATGGAAACACTAAGTTCAGTAATTTATAATTAGATAATTAGAACTGCAGAAAAAACAATTACTACCAACTTGCCTTCCATTGAGGACCTATATACTGCACAGGTCAAAAAGAGGGCTGTGAAAATATTTACACATAAACATAAACATTTTCAGTTCCTACCCTCAAAATGACGCTATAGAACACTACACAACTAAGACACAAGAAGTTTTTTCCCAATCGCCATCACTCTGCTAAACAAATAATTCCCTCAACACTGTCAAACTAGTTACTAAGTCTGCATTACTATTAATCTTCTCATCGTTCCTATCACCCATCTCTCCCACTTATGACTGTATGACTAACCTTGTTGCTGGTATCCTTAAGATTTATATTGACTGTTTCCCTATGACTATCATTAAGTGTTGTACCCTATGATTCTTGACAAATGTATCTTTTCTTCTATGTACACCGAGAGAGTATGCACCTAGGAAAATTCCTTGTGTGTCCAATCACATTTGGCCAATAAAGAATTCTATTCTATTCTATTCTATTCTATTCTATTCTATTCTATTCTATTCTATTCTATTCTATTCTGTTCTGTTCTAGTCTAGTCTAGTCTAGTCTAGTCTAGTCTAGTCTAGTCTAGTCTAGTCTAATTTAATGTGGAAGCGGTATTTCAAAACCAAATTTGCCACACCATTTGGAGGTAAATAAATTGCTGTCTCCACTCAAATTATCCTCAAGATTGCCCCTACAGTGTCCTAAATTACCTACATGATATTTTGTTCCAGTAGAAGCAAAGCACCACTTACAAACTGGAACAACTAGGTTGGGTATGGGATGGAGGACATGTATATCAAGAATAGTGAAGGGAAGAGGGGTGTATTAATCAGATGTTTAAGATTATATTACTAAGTCATTTTCCAGTCCTGCTGCTCTGACATTCCACGCATGGGTGTTCACTTTTGTCTTTTGCCATGAAAGCAGGATACGAGAATGAACCCAAGATGTACATCCATTTGTGTTCAGTGGGGCTACTCTGTAATAGCTCTTTGGGACTGCTGCAGACATAGGCATGCTTATGAGAAATTGAATCTCCCTACAGAAAATAACAAAAGTCAGTATCCAGATAGTGCCTAGTAATAAATGTTATTAAAAGGATATGCTTTTATGTACAACACTTCGTCAGATTAACAGTGAATGTTCATTTGAATTGAATGTTTCAATTTATGTTCACACATAAATTGTGTGCCATAGGTCTGCAATAACTTTATGCACATATTACAAAAATCTCATAGCAACATCATTTTACCAGGAATGTATTAATAATGAATAATACAATTTTCACTTTCAAATCACAAAATTCTTTGGTAGTTTATGGACAGACCTTTACTAACCCACAATCCAAAAGGCATTCTTTCCTCCCAGAAGATTTTTCCTGGTAAGAAAAAAAAAGTAATTATAAGAGTATAAAGTAATGTTCCCAAAAGATGGCAACTGGGACCTTTACTTCATTAATATCCTACTTTATACATAGAACATAACTGTGTTTGCATAATATATTGAACCATAAATTAGCAAAATTAATTTTATCCTACTGTGAAAGGTAGATTCAACCCTAGTAATGCATTTATAAAATCATAAAATGAGAAGAATTCATATTAAAGCTTCCAGATAGAGGAAGTAAATTACCTTTGAGTAATTGTTAAACTCTTTATACTATTAGGAAATCTCGTGTAATATGACAATTCTGAATACCTGGTAAAATACCAGAGAATATGTAAGGTGAACCCATCCCACTTCTTGCCTTTTGGATTTTTTTTTCGTTCTATATGAACCACGGGCTTTGTAAGAATCAGTGGTTTGAGTAAACCAGACAGAAGTTCTGTCTGGAAAGAAAGATGCTCAAAAGACATGCCTGCATTGTTGCTCAATAGGAAGAGCCGCCTACCTGTCCCTGATTTTCGATTAGACCATCGATTAGAGACGGTGACGTTTGGGTTCTTGGGAGCTTTCCCTCCGCGGCTGCAGCATCTGATCTAAGCGCTGAGTTCAGCGCGCTTCAGAGTGACCGTTTTCGTCGCGGCCAGCTTGTCCGTCGCCATAGCGACCGTTCCAGGCACGCGGTGCGTTGTCCACTTGGCTCTCGTGGGACCTGACAGCTGAGGACAGGAGCGACGGTAGAGACGAGATCCTAGCGCTGCCCTGGCACGTCTGGCCTAGCCCTTTTTCACCGGGCTGGGAAGCAACGCGCCTCCCCCCAAATAAAAATGCCGAAAAGGTCCGTTGACGCCCGACAGACTTCAAAAGCTTTTCAGTGTGGTCCAGGAGGGGGCAAAGAAAGGACTACTATCAATTTGGATGAGCACCAAATTGTTAATGAGGTAATTGTAATCTTCACCATCCTGCTCCTTCTCGGGCAGTTTGGCAAGGGGCCATTTCTCCTAGGAAATCCTCCCCCCCCCCACTTTCCTAAAAAAATAATAATCATAAACCTGTCTTCGAGTTGGAGACAGTCTTCTAAGTCCACATTTATGCCCTAGAGGTTTTGAGAAAAGGGGCATGCCTCCCTTTTAGCCTGTGTCCATTCCTACTCCTGTATTGGTGATTGACACATAATGTGATGTATTTGGCTTCAGTTTAAATTATTATAGGAATCACGGTTTGTAAATCAAGGGCGATGACTTCCTGCAAAGTGTATACCTAGCCAATTGCAGCTTATTCAATAGTTATGATTACAAAAGATGCCTTTTGAGTTCATTCAAACTCCTTTGTGAAGGTATGCTATCCATGTTCAGCCAACTGTGATGTAGGCAGCAAATCAGGTAAAGTAGAATTAAGGTGATACATGAACGCCAAGAGGTTCTATTTCTTTATCAAGGGGCCATAGGAAAAAGTGTTTGCTGAGGGGCTTTGCTTCTTAAAGCAGAACGTTAATTTGGGGAAAGGGTGTGCTCCTTCCATTCTCCTACAGGAGAAAGTATATTTTAAAAAATAACAGATAGTAGATTTTGTAAAATTATATAGAGTATAGGAGAATATTAGTGTGATGATATGTAAATGGTTACAGTCATGCACAAGAGCAGAATAAGAATTGTTTAATTGTTAAAACCCAATAAAACTAAATTTAAAAAAAGCAGCTGCAGAGCTTAAATTTGTCCTAGGAAAAGCAGATTTTCCCCCCTCAAGATGTCTATGGATATTCTCAGTCATCCAGATCATGGTTGTTCCAAAGATACTTTTTGCAAGAGGCAACTGGTTGTTTGGTTTTCCTTGAAGATGTTTCGCCCCTCATCCAAGAAGCTTCTTCAGCTCTGAAGAAGCAGGTTTTTAGATAGAGAAGTGAAACGTCTTCAAAGAAAAACTAATAAAGTCCTATTCGCTCAAGCTGTTTCAGCTCTGTTACGGTACCTATATGTTTTAATTCTCAAGCTTGGGACAAAAGATTCTCAAAAAATGATTGTTCTGAACAGCATGGCCATGTACCTCTTGTATAATTAGATACTTATATTTGTTCTATTTATTATTTTTCACATTTTTGAATTGCCAGTGTTCCTTGAGGAGGGACTCAAGTACAATCACTTTTTCTGACACAATCTATTTTCAGATTTTAGAAAAGCAACTAAAAATTTGCGGCTACAGGAATGATGAAGAAGTTATATATCTATACCTTGGAGAAAAGTAAGTTGTTTGCAGCTGTTACTATAATTAAGATGTACCATGTAAAATGGTCATTGGCTATTTCAGTAGCAAACAGAATTTGTTGAAATCGAAGTATGGTATCAGATGGACTGTTTAGTGTTTATTTTATCAGACTAGTATTTATTATAGCACTGTCTAAGTACCAGAATTTAGAAAATGTTCAAAGTTGATGTGATATAAAAATCATAAATAAGAAATCATTCTGCTTCCTCACCTACCTCCACCTTTCTGTCTATATAAGATTCTTATTTTTATAGTAAAGTACTATAAAATTTTTGGGACTTGGTGGCTCAGTGGCTAAGACACTGAGTTTGTTGATCGAAAGGTCGGCAGTTCAGCGGTTCGAATCCCTAGTAATGGGGTGAGCTTGTCCCAGCATCTGCCAACCTAGCAGTTCGAAAGCACATAAAAAATACAAGTAGAAAAATAGGGACCTTTGGTGGGAAAGTAACAGCGTTTCGTGTGCCTTTGATGTTTAGTCATGCTGGTCACATGACCATGGAGATGTCTTCGGACAGCGCTGGCTGTTCGGCTTTGAAACGGAGATGAGCACTGCCCCCTAGAATTGGGAACAACTAGCACATATGTACGAGGGAACCTTTCCCTTTACTATAAAATGTAACCACAAGAAAATTGATAACCTTATCTCTACATTTGGATGCTCAAGGCCCAAAAAACTTAGTTTTATTAGAGCAAAGGATAGATTTGAACATTTGTGAAAATGAGTACTAAAAAAAAGACTGAAATGAAATTCTACTGGGGAAAAAATAGATCCCTTTGGGTTCAAGTCTTCACATATGTTTCTTCAGATTGATGCCACTGATTTCAGTGAAATGTCTCAAAAATAAGTAATTTGAGATTTGCAACCTGATTACTTAAGGAATAAGAACAGGCTGGAAGATAAATTTATTTATTTATGGTGAAGATAAATAAATAAATAAATAAACATTTAGAAGTAAATTCATGGTTTTAGAGAACAAATAAAAAGAATAAATATTTGTATGCTTCATTGTATACTTTTGTATTCTGTAAATAAAATGATAGCATGAGACATTTAAAAGAAAGTGGTATTATCAATAAAAAATTAGATATAATAGAACCAAAATGCAGTAGTAATATTTGAAACTGCAGTTTTTGATTTCAGTTTCAACTGGTTTCATTGTAAAAAAATAAATCCGAAGTCATATTTTTGTCTCCATTGAAATAAATTAAAGGGAATCAAGGATGGATATGGAAAAGCTGATATGAATCCAAATCATGCTGGTTATGAATTTTTTAGCATCTTCTCTGTATCCTTTGCATCATATCTACTGTAATTGTAAATGTCTGTAATTGTTAATACAGGTGATTCTCAGTTAAAAGCCATTCAATAAGCAACCGTCCAAAAGTATGATAGAGTTGAAAGACCAGTATTTACAAACAGTCCTTGAAGTTTTGGCTGCTGCAGCACTCCTGCAATCACATGGTCATGGTTTGTGATCTACCTGTTGATTTCCCACAAGTTAAGAGGGATGCCAGCAGGAAGTTGTAGTTATGTGTGCAATGGCAGTAATTTAGGACTGTTGGAAATGCTGTGGTTAAATGGCACAATCAGAAGGTTTTGTGCTTTATGACCTCATCACTCAGCAGTGGAAATTTTAATCCCAATTACTGTAATTAAGCTGTAATATGAAAGAGTAAGTATATTTCTATATGTTTAATACTATTCAATCATGAATATTGTGTAACTATAGAATAATATTTAACTGGTCACTTCATACTAAAGTTATGAATTTCTCTTTCAGTGGATTAAAAGATGTTCCTCATTTATCACGGTTCCGGAAATTAAGAAATTTGTGGCTAAACCACAATAAGGTATCAAATACAGGAACTTTCATAACTGCAATTATTACTTATTTCTGAAAAACCTTTTCAGATTATTCTTTCAAGGGGAGCACCATTGACTGTATTTAAAAATAAGCCAAAATTTCAGAATTACAATGAAAATTGTAACAACTATAGTGACTTCCCTAAAACATAATTGTATACATAGTGGACTATTAATTTATCATATTAAGCTAAATAAATATGAATATTTAAGAGTCTTCATAAAATGATAATATATCATAGAATCTAGCTGTGTATAAATTTTATGGGCTATTTTCTGGGATATCGCAACAATTTTCTGGGCTATCACAAAATATTTCCAGTTTGCAGATTACCTTTTGGAAAATGTCCAGACTCTGCCAGAACAGCAACAGAAAACACCAATGGAATGTTCTGGATTTCTCCAAAAGGGTCTAGTTCCAGAAATATAAGTGTGCATATCTCTAATCTCTTTTAATTCAGCACACTGATTATAATAAATTTCCCAAAGTATCATAATATCATAGCTAATGTTGTAACCATATGTAATAGAATAATAATTCATATATATATTCCTAAATTAAATTTATATGTGTGTGTGTGTATGTACCAATAAAATAACAGTGCTATTCTAATTTTTATTGTTTAGATTCAGTACATAACTTTCGTGAAATATAACTGTTGCTTGACAGAATTATATCTTCATAATAATGATATCAGAAATATAACAGGTACTTTCTAAACATTTCATTTGATTTGATTTTTCTGAGTAAGAAATAAGTTTAATACATATGCAAAAGACGTAAGTAAGAATATTCTCTTAAATATGTAATGGCTCTGAGTTACCATTTTTGCACCAGATAAGGACTTTTGCTCTTCTATTTATTTTCTTTTGAAAATATATTATTGTATTGATTTTTATGTGGCAATGGTCCTTTTTATCTAATTTTCCTTGCCTGTAGTTTGAAATGCAATATGAATTTAACAACTGATTTTACTATAAAATATTAATTGTAATTTTAAACTACTATAATTCCAAAGTTTCTTTTAGAAGTAGAATATATACATTTAAAACAAAGAAAACATTTTCATAGTATCCTCTCAGTAAGTTCACCACAGGTAGATGGAATATTAGTTTAACTCAACAATAAATCTTCGATCTCAATTGTTACTTTTATATGATCAAGATTAATGTATTCATATGTTTAGTTTAAGCCTTACATTGAGTTGGTTACATGAAATTTGTACTTCCTGAATTTAAGTAATGTCTTAATGTAGTGAAATCTCTTTCACTGCATTAAGAATGCATTGGAATTTTATAAAAGGGGTTTTACATACAATAGACTAGATTTCAAGTGATTTGTGTGAATGATGTAATTGCATCAACTGTGTTACATAATGACATAATCATGTAAATGTTGTAAATGAACTCAAGCACATAGTCTCAGATTTAATTGATAGTTGCTAATAATAGACATGTCCTTCCCCTGGTTGGTCCATTGTAATTTCATTATAATTTGTTAAATAGCAATAACATTAGCACTATACTTATAACCATAGTGCTTTACAGCCCTCTCTAAATGTTTTACAGAGTCAGCATACTGCCCACAAACAATCTGGGTCCTCATTTTACTGACCTCAGAAGAATGGAAAGCTGAGTCAACCTTCAGCCTGTCAGGATCAAACTCCTGGCAATGGACAGAGTCAGCCTGCAATATTGTGCTCTAACCACTGTGCCAGCATGGCTCTCAGAATAACTGTTTGCAATAATAATAGGCCAGCTCTTTTCCTAATTTCATTTAATGGTTAGTGAGAACATGGTCTAGGTCAGAGTTCCCCAGGTGGTTAATAATGACCCCCAAGGGTTGATGGGATTATCCCAGGGGTAGATAAATGACTGGGAATAAAAAGTGGATCAATAAATGGCTGGGAATCAGTAGGTGGTTGACAAATCATAGAAGATCAATTGGATCAATTAATTTTTTCAAGTCTTTGTAGAGTGTGCTAGTTCTTCATCCTGAAGATGAGGTGGCTAGCAGCGAGAATGTTATCCAGAATCTGATAGTCAGTCCCAGATGATTACACTATTTTCATGTAATAAATGTTTGAAAGTGGATGAGCAATCTGAAACTTTAAAAAAAAGGTGATGAATTGAGGAGTTTGGATATCCCTTACTTAGTCTCATCAAGCTTTTACCATCCAGCCAAATGCTTTCAAGAATCTTATAAAGAAATCATGAATGTTTTAACTGTTTTATTGCCTTTCTTGCAGTAAAATAGGTATTAAAGTACAAGTTGTTTCTATAGTGCCTTATATTTTGGTTATCATTTTTAGGTGCTCTGAAAAATTTACACTCACTGCAGATCTTGCTGCTTCACAACAATCAGCTAAAAAATTTGAATTTGACTGTGAAAGAACTACAAGGACTGCGAACTTTACATACCTTAAGTAATAATGTGTGTGTGTGTGTGTGTGTGTGTGTTTTACATAGAATAACAATACCAACAAATACATTTGTTTCATAGAAGCAGCTTTGGGGAAGGAATGGGATACTATACTTCAATTTTTTTAAATAGGTTCTTTTGTTGAGAAATTTTTTTTGTAATTCAGCACACCTGTGTATTTTTTAATTGATGTGTGTGTGTGTTCTTTTACTATATTGGGCAGAACAAGGGACATATGAAAATGTCTGAGTCTGAAACTTCATATTAAGATAAACAAGACAGTACTGGCGCCACTAAATTCTGCTGTATGAAATTGCCTGCAGGGAAATAGGATTATAAACTGTTAACCTTGAAAGTGAGTGTGTAGGCAATCTTTCTCCCCCCACCACCCCACCCCAAGGAATGCATCCTGCTAGGCTTTCAGAATTCTAAGAAGTAAGAACTTATTCCTTGGTAAAGTAATTATTGGAGGTGTTTAATAACATCCAAATCATTACTAGCATACTGAACATTTTATAGGAACAAATCTGAATCATTCTAAACTTGAAAAGAAGATGATTAATGATTGTCAGATTATCCCAGCTACTATGGAAGATATAGCCATCATATTTTGAAAACAGCTATTGAAAAGGGAAAAAGTTTATGATGGGTATAGGCATTTCCAAAATAATTATGTTGAGATTGGTTTACAAGAACAAACACTTTTCTTAGATAAAAATATGTATTTAAGTTGATCAGTAAGAGCCAGTTCATTATAGTGGTAAAAGGCATCAGGCTAGAAACCAGAGAACTGAAGATTTCTAGTGCTGAAAGATGCCAACTGAATGACTTTTGGCCAGTTGCTCTTCTAGCCCTATAAAGATGGCAGTGGCAACTTGCTTCTGAAAATCATACTAAGAAAGCTGTATAAATTCAGGCAATTGCCAGGAGTCGAGACTGTCTTGAAAAAACCAATACATAAAAAGTCATGCCATCTATTTTCTAAAAAAAAACAAAAACAAAACCCAACCCCACAATAGGACACAATATTAAAGACATTATTTATAATTCTTCCAAACTGACAGTCCATAAACCAATGTAATTTCTCCAATGAGTATAGACAAAGAACTATTTTTATTTTGCAAAAAGATATTAATTAGTTCAGCAAAACTACTGATTTATTACATTAAATCTTGATATTTTTTGTATATTATTTTTAAATTTTCTTCCTGTTGAAAGGCACAAAAGATTACATACAACAGTAGCATACTGTACAGATAATTGAAATGAAAATCCATACTATGACAGCAAAAATGTTTTGGTTAATATTGACATCATTTCTAAGTAAATTACAAAAATAGTGTAAGTAGGTATTCTTTCCACTGCTGCCATCTACTGGTTCTTTAAGTGCACTTAATTAGATTTCCTTTTTTATGAAAGAGAAAAAACCATTTCTAAAACAAAGGCTTTTTAGAATTCCTTGAAAAAAGCCTCATTATCCATTCTGTAGATATTCATATTATTCAGATGTACTAAACCAAAATGCTTTTCCAAAGTAATGAATCTTCAAATCCTAAAATTTTAATGTAACTTGTAGCTTATTGTAGAACATTAGGAGATTAACCTGATGGAAATAGACAAAAACTGTTATATAAACAAAGAGATCTGAACCATGACTTATTTCTTGGGAAACAAGATTGTATTTAGAAGACACAAGTGTGGCTCCTGCCCTATAGACTACAATATAAAAGGGAGGGTGGCAATACATAATCAGGATATAAAAATTCTGTTACTATAGAATTTTCTATAGCCTATTTCAATATGTAGTACGTCAGTTTCTTGAGCTTGTATACTTCATCAACCTTTCAAGCCTGGATGTAATATCGAATACATACTATTTTAATGAAATCCAATAATGATCTTAGTAAGTCACATAGGAAAGAGTCCGTTCTATTGCAGTTGTAATTTGTCTCCGCTTGAAATGCATTAGCAAGTCTGTTTGCAAGGGTTAAAAAAAAATGACACATGTGCAACTTGTGGATTATTTCTTTGCTTAAAGTAGTAAGTTTTCCTAGTTAACCATAAGGTACATAAGCATTTAAAAGATAATAACACAAAATAAGCCAAAAAGCAAGGGTGATCAATTTTTCACAATGGGTCAGAAGGTTCAGGAAGGATACACTTTCTGAATTCAAAATGGCATATTATGTTTGCACAGTGGAAATTAGCATTAGATTGCCACATTTGTGCTCAATAATTTTCTTCTGTTTCAACTTCTGCAGACCTGTTTAACAATCCTCTGTCACGAGAATGCAGATATCGCCTATATGTAATATATCACATCCCCTCAGTAACTTTGCTCGACAGAAAAGGTAGAACCCTACTTTCAAGAGAAATGTTTTGCAAAGATAAAAAGTATTATTTTTTATGGTTAAAGTAATTTTATAAGGTTCAATATGCGGTGATCTTTTCGGTGGATATTTTGTTGATGGATTAATATGAGTTTTATTGGGGCCTCAGCATTGTTTATATAATCTTTTTGGTGTATTGTGTTTTTAATCTTTTGCTTCCTGCAGTTCTTTCTTTTTTCTCCCCATGTTTTATTTATTTTATTTATATAACATATAAAAATTCAATTTCCATCAAACAATGTGTGATCTGGGTACAGTTGTTTTAAACAGTCATGATCCACATATTTGTTATAGTATTCTTCACAATAATATTGATAATATAATAGCAGTAATACTTAACATTATCATCTTTAACAATTCTCAACTTTAATATTTCCTCTTTTTATGTCTCCTCTTTTCTAACTTCTGTTTCTATTGTCTAGCCATTGATAAAATACGTCCCATATCAAAAAATATTCAGTTTCTTCTTTATTCTTAATAGTAAGCATTAATCTATCCATTTCTGCACATTCTAGTATTTTTTTAATTACATTCTCATCTGACGGAATCTCATCCTTTTTCCACAATTCTGGCTGCAGTTAGTATATGTCAGTGGTCGGCAACCTTAAACACTCAAAGAGCCACAAAGGCCCTAACCAGAAGCCCCCCATCCAATTCTGGAGCCAATCGGAAGTCGGTTCCCTCCACCATAGTATCTTCTCCTAGCGCGGCATCCTTTTTCCTCTACGTATCCTAACTGAAAGCCCTATCAATTGTGGAGATGACTATAGAGAGGGAGCCACAGCAGAGAGATGAAAGAGCCACATGCGGCTCCAGAGCCGCAGGTTGCTGACCCCTGGTATATATAAAACCAGATATATAATCCTTCTATCATATTTTTCCGGTAGGATGGCCAATAAAAATGTCTCTGGTTTCAAGCCTATATGCTGCTTTATCATTTTTTCCAACCAAGTATGTATTTTCGTCCAATATTTTTTAGCTTTTGGGCATGTCTACCACATATGGTAATATGAACCAGATATTTGATTACACTTCCAGCATTTAATGGATCTATCCTTATACATTTTTGCCAGTCTTGCCGGTGCAAAATGCCATCTATAAAACATTTTATACAAATTTTCTTTATATGCAGTTGACATAGTCAATTTAATATTTCTATCCCATAGGTTCTGCCATTTATCTAATTCTATTGCATGTCCAAAGTTTTTAGCCCAAGCAATCATTGTCTCCTTTACCTGCTCCCTTTCAAGCTTAATACTTAATAAATACCAATATAATTTCGTTATTAGTTTTTCATCTGTTCCAGTTAATATCTGGAACAGAGTTAACAATATCTGTTAACTCTTTGTTAAAACCATACATTTTAGCATATTTCTCATAGCGAGATTGTAACTGCATGTATGGCAACCATGCAATGTCCATCCCTTGACTACTAAGTTCCTGCTTGGTTTTTAATTCCCCTTTTTCATTTAAAATATCTTTGTATCTTACATTTTTTTCCATGTTGATAACAGGATGTACCAATGCTTCCATAGTGGAAAGCCAAACTGGTATTTTCAAATAGTGTTGTTCTTTTATTTTAAACCAAACTAATAATAATGCATTCCTAACGTAGTGTCTTTGAAAATAACTATGTATCTTATTCTTCCATACCATAAGAAAGCGTGCCAACCTAGTTGGAGGTCATGACTTTCTATGGTTAATAATCTTGTATGTCTCAGACTGATCCATTCTTAATTCTTAATGACAGTTGCAGATCTTTCCATTTCTCCAGGTCTAGTTTAATTTGTCTCATCAATTCCATATAATTATCCTCTTTAATTGTTGCACATTTTGCTGTTAGTAGTATTCCTAAATACTTCTCTTTTTTAACTATCTGTATATTAATTATTTCTATCAACACTTTTTTTGTGTATCTATAAGATTCTTAACTAAAATCTTTGTCTTATCCTTGTTTATTTTCAGTTCTGCTACTTCTCCATATTATTCTATTTTTCTAATTAGCTTCGGTCCAGTTTCTAAGGGGTGTTCTAGTATAAAAACCAAGTCATCTGCAAATGCCTGTGGCTTGTATTTCTCTCTTTTTATTTCCATTCCTTTTATTTCTTTTATCTTGCCGAATGTTCCTGATTAACACTTCCAAAGTCAATATAAATAGCATCAGGGACAGTAGACATCCCTGTCTAATGCCTTTCTTGATATTAAAGTTCTCTGTCATGTCTCCATTTATCACCTTGACTGATGGTTTACAGTATATTGCTTTAATCATATTAATAAATCTCTCCCCAAAGTCCATATATTTTAGTTGTAATAACATAAATTCCCAATTAACATTATCAAATGCTATCTGTGCATCTAAAAACATCAATGTCATTTGTTTTCCATGGTACATTTCATAATACTCCAATGTATTTAGAATCATTCTTATATTGTTTTTAATCTGTCTCTTTGGCAGAAATCCATTCTGATCTGGATGTATAAATTCGTTCAAGTACTTTTTTAATCTCTCTGCTATTATTGAAGCATATATTTTATAGTTTGCATTCAGTAAAGATATTGGCCTGTAGTTCTTTATCTGTGTTAAATCTGAATTGTCTTTCGGTATAAGAGTAATATTTGCTTCCATCCATGAATTTGGTATTTTTGCTTCTAGTAGTACTTCCAACATCACTGAGCTTAATACCTCTTCTAGTTGTTTGTCAAATTCTGCCAGTAGCCCATCGGGCCCTGGTGTTTTATTATTTTTTTGTTTCTTGATCGCTTCTGTCAATTCCATCATGGTTATCTGTTCATTCAGCATATCTTTAACTGTATCGGGTACCGATTGAGTTCAGATTGTTCCAAATATTGTATTTTGTTTTCTAAAATTTCCTCCTTGTCATACAATTTCTCATAGTACTCTTTTAAAATAGTTTTTTCTCCTCATTCTGATAGTGAAAAGTCCCTTTCTCATCGATTAGTCGATGTATCAATTTTTTTCTCTCTCTCTTTTTTCAGTTTATATGCCAACCATCTTCCAGGCTTATTTGCATTTTCAAAAAAAAAATATTTTGCTCTTTCACTTTTAATTTTTTGTGCCAATTCTTCTTTTTCCAATAGGTTCATTTTATGTTTTATTAAGTCTATTTCATTTTTCAATTCCTTTTTTTGTGGTTCTCTCTGGAATTCTGATTCTAATCTTTTGTATTCTTCTTCTAATATTTTCTTATTTTGTTTCTTATTATTTTTCTTTCCCATATATGTTATAGCTAATCCCCGGGTACATGCTTTAACCAGGTGTGGGTTCTACTTACCTTTACTACCGGTTTCCAACAGAGCCATGCACATGCGCTCTTCTGCGCATGCGCAGAAGTGTTTTGATGACGTCGGGGTGGGTGGACGGAGCCTCCCTCCGGTTTTACTACCAGTTCTATAGAACGGTCTGAACCTGGGGCAACCCACGACTGACTTTAACAATATCCCATACAATTTGCAGGGAGGTCTCTTCCTTCCTATTCTCCTTGGGGGGAAAATCCAATTCTTTTTTCATCTTTGGATGAATTCTTTATCTTGCAGTATTGCTTGATTTAATGTCCACTTCCATTTTCTTTTTTGTCCTTTCCAAATAACTTTCATTGGATTATGATCTTCTCAAACATTTGGTTCTATTTCTATCGCTTGCACACATGTTTTCAGTTCTGATGTCATCCATACCATGTCTATTCTGGACCAGGATTTATGCCTGTTTGAATAGAATGAATATTGATTTTTCATAGGGTGCATTTCTCTCCATACATCTTGGGTTCCTATTTCTTCTATCATTTTAAAGAAGGTTTTAGGGAGTGTTTTTCTGGCTTTTTTTTTACCTATTTCACTGCTCTTATAGTCAAGTTCTGTGTCTACAATTGCACTGAAGTCTCCTACCACACAAATATTTTCATATTCCAATTTTCTTACGGAGTTTTCCATAAAGTTCACCTTGTTTATTATTATCACTATCAACAAAGGTTGTTTTCTTTTAATGACTTGTACGTTAAAATCCACAAATTTGTAGGTTGTAATCCACAAAGGCCACCAAAACCCCAGAATTATATTCAACAAATTATAAATCCCCAAGGAGTAAGGCTGAAAGTTCCCAGGTTCAGTTGCTCAGTTGCTCAATTGTTAAGATCTATATCCAAATAGGGAGTTACAGTGTTTAAAACTTACACTATTTCCACTCTCTTCCTCTGTAGTTTTCTCTGTAAACAGTTCCCAGATGGAGGCAGCTTATCTAAATCTTGCAACAATGTTTTTCCAATAAGCTATCCAAGGTCAGTTATTATTCACACTTTCTTTTCTTCACTTTCTCCACTTTCTCTATGGGTTTTTTCTGGCCAGTAGGTGTCACTGTTGCACTATTTCTCTTCTACTCCTCTCCTTTAACTTCCTTTAATATAACATTTTTTTCCCTTTAAGGATTCCGGAGCCCAAGTTTTATAATCCCAAGTAAAGTTTTAGATTGATAATATCCAATTAATATAATCCTTAGGTTAACCAATCCGATTTTCCTCTTTTAGCATTTATATCTTCAAATTATTCAAATAGTTCAAATTTCCTGTTTGGATCTATTTCAGCTTTGTGCTTGTTCAACACTATTCTCATGTAGTGGGAGATGAACAATTCCACTCCCTTCTTTTACCACCCCACTGTCACTTAGCCAATTTTAAAAGGGGGAAATTTGACAGAAGTGACCCACACTGTTCTTCAGTCTTCCCTAATTCTTCTCTGTTCGGGCTGTCACAGCTTTGGACAGCATGCAATGGCCGTCTTTTCCTTCCTGCCAGATTGGGAGCTTCTCCTGGATCAAACAAGGAGTTAGAGATCTTGTGGTCTACGGGGGTCTCCTCTCTTCTATACCACCCCTCCAAATTGGATTAGGTCCGTTGGGACCATTGGCAAGAGAATTTTGATGAACTTCCATAGAGCACTATGAAAGAATCGTCATATTGCCATGATGTCAGCTTTGCCTCCCCTCCCACAGTTCTTTCTAATAGAGGGTTGTTTATATAGATCTGATAAATAAATAAGAATATAATCGGTACCCTGTTGCATCAATCTTTTGGGTGGTCTAGTTTAGCAGTCTTTTCTCACAGTGCCTAGCCAACTGCAGCAGGACGTCCACTAGTCTCCCAGCAGATGGCCTTCAGATTACATGTAGTCCTTGACTTACAATAGGAGTTGGGATCAGAATTTTCTTTGCTAAGTGATGCAGTTGTAACGAACTACCATATTGCATAGCAACAGCAATCCTCTGGTTGCTAAGTGAAGTGTATTCTTGCTAGGTTTCCAGAACCAAAATCACAAACTGTCAGGCAGGTAAGTGGCTGCTGGTGGTGGAGGAAATAGCAAGGGTGCCTGGGAAAGCATGAAGAGGTTGAGGCAGGATATGTAAGGGTGTGAGACCTGGGCAGAGGTCAAGCAACAGGAGCGAGGAGGTTCATGAGATGAGCAAGTCTGGAAAGGTGCAAGGGTGTGCATGAAAGGTGTGGCAAGCAAGAGGAGAGTTGAAGGTGCTGTGGAAGAGGGATGTGAAGGTGCATAAAGATGCGGATTGAGTATACTGTGCATATGGGGAGGGTATATGCAAGTGCACGTGAGAAGTGCATCAAGGTTTGGGGAGGGAGTACAAAGAGCGTGCAAGGGTTTCAGTTCATTGAAGGTGCTAGGAGGTACATGAGAATTATAGCACAGGTGCTCAAGAGCATGGATCATGGAGGTTATAGGACCGTTTAAGGATGACATGAGTGTCAGGGAGAGTGCACTAGGGCAACTAGTGACCATCCCTGATGGTTCCCATTTTAATTTCTGAGGAAGCCAATAGAGAAGATTGCAAATGGCAATCACATTATTGCAGGATGCTGCAACTGGTCATAACTGCAAATCAATTGCCAAGCACCCAGATTGCAAACAAATGATCAAGAGTGTGCCATAATTACTGTCACTCAAAGGATTGGTCCCAACCACCTTAATGTTCAAGATTTTTGTAACTTTGAACAGTCACTGAACGAATGGCTCTAGGTTGCAAACTACATGTAGTCACACTGCCATCAAGGCTAACACCATTCATACCCATGATTTCTATGAATTAGTCTAACCCTTTTTTGCAGCCAGTCAAACTGACAGCCATCATATCACATCATAGCAAACTCTGAAGTTTAATTATGTGTTGTCTAACAATTATTCTTTTTGTTTGTCCTGATTTTTCCAAGATTAAATTTCATTGATTTACATCTGGCTATAATATTTTGAAAAGGGAAAATAGTTACTACTCCTTATCCACTTTACTCATACCACAAATTTCAAAACTTCTCAGTGGTATGGATCAACTGTCCCATTTAACAAAAATACACTGTGGAAGCAAGGTTTCAAAATGCCTCTGAAAGGACAATAGGCACTGAAATTTTCAGGGAATATTCTAAAGGAAGAATAGAAAGACATAAAGGAATCTCTGGAACATTTTATGGAATGTGATAAGTCTTTTAAAAATAAATAAAAAGCCAAAGAAACTTGAATATTTGATGAAAAGATACTAAGATATTTTAATGCTCTGACAAAACTTTAATTTATATTTCCCAGAAATAACTAGAAAAGAAAGAGAATCAGCATTGCATATCTACAATCATGAGAAGACTCTTGTCCTTCAGTCCATAGGATTTGGGAAAAGAGTAGATATACCTTTGTTGCCAAAGGCAGCATTCAGTCTGACATCCACAAAAGTCTTGCGCTTGCCTCCAGGTATTTCAATAATAATTTACTAAAGTAACATATACTCTTGTTGGATGCACCGAGGTGATTATAGGTTGAAAGGATTAGTTGGTGACATCACTGTTGCCTGGGGTACACCCAGTTGGGGGTCCTTTAATATCTCTGGCGGGAGCAAAGAAAAGGAGCTCATCCAGCCCCATGACAGCACTCGTGCTTCGAACATGAGCTTCCTGCTTGTCAAGCCAGTATCTTAATCACATGAGCCACCATGCTTCTTAATAATATAGATTACCAATCAACATTCTTTCCATGACATGCTTAATAATTTTCAACATTATCTAAACTTTTATAATTACCTCTCAACCTCAAAAGATCTTTATTTGTAATTATATTGTACATATCAATAAAAAATCTTTGTAAGAACATAGTTGTATTGAATCATTTGATCTATTTTTAGCTTTTCTGGTTCAACTATTGGAGGTTTTGAACTTTGATAAATTAAAAAATTAATTTTTTTTAATTTGTTCATTGTATGCATATATTGCACAAATATGAAGCAATTATTAAAATTAATCATTTTGCTTCCAGAAGTTAAGGAAAATGATTGTTGAGTAGAATAATGATTGCGTGATGAAGACTTTGGACTATATAAGTAGTTCAAAGGATATAAAAACTAGATCTTCAAATATATATAATTAATATATTTTAAAAGGCATGGCATATAGAAGTTAATCTGAAGAAGGAAAAATCAATCTTTCTTATTCAAAATGTACACATTGTAAATTTCTAAATATTTATAAATTATAAGGGCCAATCCTTAACCATTCAAAATTAAAATTCAATACATTTTATTGAATAAATATTTTAGAACTAATTGAGAATTTTATGCATTTACTTTTTAAAATGAATGTAATTTAAGTTGATTAGTTGTTTAGTAATATATATTAACTGACAAAAGGAATATACAACACTCAATGTTTTTAACGGTTATTCTAGGTTGCGAGTTTGGAAATCACTTAGTTAAGTAAGTAGCTCAAACAGTTTCTCCATATTTTAAGATTATATTGTAAATTAAAAAGTTCTACACAAGTAAAAGGACAAGTCAAGCCATAGCTCCTTAAATTGAACAGATAATCGTGCTTGTATAAATATTAATATGCATTTTATAAACTTCATGAAGAGTTATGCTGCATTAGAGGTTTAAATATCAACATCATTAGATATAAATATGACATAACACTAGATTTACCATCTTGAATTTTAAATGATTTGCAAAAGAACATTTCAGTGGAAGATATAATTGGTATGAATATATTGACTATACTATTTGACTTGTATATCATTGATATTTTCCTCTTTAATTTACATACCATTTGCACAATTATTTGGTACAAAATATACTGAGAACCAGTTTAGTCTAGTGGTTAAAGCAGTAACTAGAAATGGGGAAACCTGAGTTCTCACTTTCCCTAGATCAAAGACAAAAGCAATGGAAAACCACTTCTAAAAATGTTGCCAAGAAAACTTCCTGGACTTGTCCAGGCAATCAACAGGAGTCAAGGTTGGCTCAAAATCAAAAAGAAACAATGATGGGAAAAATAATTTTGGGCAGAGCAGAATTCAGTTTTCGGTTTGGAGTTCTTGAGATTTGAACAGAATTTGGTTGTGAGTTTGGAACAGTTTTTGAGATTACAGAGGAAAAACTTAAGGGGAGCCTTATTTTAGAAATGGTAGTACATTTTTGTGATTATTTTAAGAATATGCTTAAATTATGGTGCAAATGCCTATTTAACCATTGGTTGTATAAGAATATTGTCATTTAGTAACTTTTTTGGGGTGGGGGTTACTCTTAAAGAATCCCATTTGCAAATCCAGAAGATGCTGTCTTTGTGCGGGCAATGAAGCGTGGCATGGTGGAATTTTCAACTGTGGATTGGGGGAAAATGCCTACCTGTGAAGAAAAACGCCTTGGCAGCAGTCCAGAGAAAAGGCCAGAAAAACTGACCATTAGATTCAGATAAGAGCCTGTTCTTACAGAAAACTCTCTCTTTTAAGAGCTTTTTTTCAATTGCATTCCTATTAAATGTTCCAAGTGTCAATTGAAGATATTTTAAGGGGGAAAATATTATTTAGTTGTGTTAACACTAAATGTAGAACACTTTTTAAAATAAGAGTGATTCAAGAATTCAGCGGCCAGGGCAATAATGTTACATGCCTGATATAGATCAGTCTTGGAGTAACAAAGTATTTTTGAAAATAATTAGAATATTTTGAAGTGATAGAGGTTTAAATACAAATTTTTGCTACCCAACAATTGTAACAATATTATAATTATATTGCTTGAAATATCTTCAAAGATATGAGATCACTATTGAAAAGTCTGTCCTTAATTGCCTTCTATGTTAAGAAATACCGTGAACTGGTAGGAGAAATGGGAGATATGAGATTAGTTATTTCATCCCATTAGACTTTATCATAGTATTTAAAATAAGTATTAATATCTTTATTTATAGGAACATTGAAATAAGTCTAAATATAATATTCAAATTTCATTTGCATTCACAAGTTGTAAATAATGCAGTAAGTGAAAAAATTATCTGACATTAATTTTTGAAAAGTCTGGCATGTATGGTTCTCTGATCATTATTGAACTCCAGGGCCAGCTGTTCCAGCTAATATATCCACCAGTGAGACAAATTAGCAACTTCTGGATGGCCCTAAATATTGGTCATAAATTAGTCTAACCAATATCATATTGTTATCTTTGTAAGAAACACTAAGTACATTTTATTTTACATATTAGTTAAAGGCTGAACTATGATTTTCTTTGTAACTATGTTGCAAAGATTTAGATGCAGTCTTTATCATAAATACTTTTAATTTGCTAATTTAGAATGACGTCTATTAGGCATTCTAACTGGGTAGCAAGTAAGCAGTCTGACAAATTCTAACCGACTGGGATGTCTTCTCCTGTTATAATAAACTTTTGGAGGCAAATATTCAATCTGACAATGTTTTGCATGGATTAAAAAATATATGGAAACCAGTCAAAATACTGAACTGTTTAAGGGATTACTCTACTTATTCCAGAACAATTCAGCTTGTCTTGATTTTGGATTTGTTATAAAGTATTTGTTTCGTGTACATTCCTAGTACAGACTTGCCAAGTTCAATATTTTGCATTTCATATAAGAAATGAGAGAAAAAATATTATTTGCTAGTCTGGAAATTAGCTGCAAATTAATATAGATAATAAAAGTAGATGCAACAATGTTCTGAGTTTTCTATTTTTTTCCCAATAAAAAACTTTTAAGTTGTCTTACTGATTTATTCTTTAAAATGTATAGGAGGTGGGGAGGAAATATTGTTAACGAGATTTTTTTATTGTTTGTAGAGGTAGTTCTTCAAGCTACAAAAGTTACTTAACAGTTGTTGAAGGTTACAGCAATCCCCAAAAGCTACCGTACATATGACCCTGCTTCAAAGTTACAACTGCTACAGTGCCCCATCTCCTCCCCCCACTTTCCCCCCACTGTCACTGCACCACTTGGGTCTGCTCCTTATATGCCTATCACACATCCCACATTTATCCTTTGAAGATCTCTGGATCTCACATTGTAGGACACACTCTATATCCCTGTAGTGACATAGCAGTGTCGATCCAAATGCAGCTATTTCGTTCCAACCACTTGAGGGCAGAGCAAAATAGCAGCCAAGAGACAAATTGGTTTTGTTGCCTTACAACGATATATCACTGCAGAAGCTTTCTGCAACTTAAAGAAGCTTTCTGCATCGCTGTGCAGACCTCATTAAGGTAGCAAAGCAGAATGGTTTATCCTACGGCGACATGGCGCATTTCTGGAAGCAGTAGCTAATTCTGGCCTATAAGTTTCTGAATGGTGGTGCAAGCCACATCAGTGAAGTAGAATGGGTTGCTTTGTCCCTTGGTCGCATGGCATGATTCCAGAAGTGGCTGCTATGTACACAACAGCTAAACTGCATTCTGATGGCTATAAATATCTCTGCCACTTGCAGAATTGTGTCATGTGGCCGCATGATGAAGTAATCTGTTCCAGCACTCTAGAAGGCCTTGGACTTTCAAACAGTAAGTGAAGAGGGTGTTTAGTTCGGTGGGGTGGAAATCAGGTCTAAGGCCTGGGGACACACAGTGGGAATCAGAGCAGGGGCAGGGGGTGTTGTATAGGATGTCTTAGAGAATGGGAGGCCTTGGTAAGGTCAGAGCAAGCAGACCAGGGCCTATTCTATGCCACTAATGGCTTCCCCGCATCCGAGGCACCCATGTCCTATTTAACTTGGCTGTATTGGGGAGTAGGTATGGGGCATCATTACATGAGATGCCATTGCAACATGCAACCATAACAGACAAGCTCCATTACAATTGTATTTTGAAGACTATATGTATATGTTATCAATCAATATATGGAGAGTATTGCTATAACATTGCTAATTTCTTTAACTAAGATTTTAAAGGAAATTAGCAGCATTATTTGCCGTGGACAACAGCATCCAACATAAATATTTTGAAACCTGTTTCTGGTCCTTTGCAGTATTTTGGAGTGATATACAAAAATGGTGATTCAGTATTTGCCAGGTCAGGGTGTTAGATTCTTAATTAATACATTTACTTTGGAATTGGATGCTATTAAAGTATATCTATATTTAAATATTGATATTTTAAAAGGAATTACAATATCAATTTAGACAATTATTTTATACAGATAAATTACTGATAAATTTATACCAGCCAAAGATACCCTAAAATATGTTTTAGCAAAACTGAGATTTAATCTATCAGATTTTCAGCTTTATCATCTGGTTTTCATTTCAATATATATTTTTGTGAAATGATCATTTTTTTTCTGAGTATTGCCCTCTTTCGACTCAATTACATTGTTTACCCCTCTAAAACCTCAGAAAATTTTAGAATGAATGTATAATAACAAGGATTTTCATTTTTAACCTTAAAGATTGTTAGACATATTTTGTTACTAATAGGTAATGGGTGAAAATTTGACCCAGAACTATAAAGAAACTGACTTGAACAAGCCAAATTTGAAGACAATAGGCGATATGTCTATATGGACTAGGTGCCTTAGTAGCTTCAGATATGATCTTTAAAATAAACTGTGCTTAAAGTAAGGTGACCAGACGTCCCGCTTTTGGCGGGACAGTCCCGATTTTTAGCAATTTGTCCCGCGTCCTGCGGCGTTTCAAAAAAGTCCCGATTTTTCATTCTGCCTCCTGAGTCCCGCTGCCTCTTGAGCCCCAGCTGATGGCTAGAAGAAAAAAAAAACTGTTTAAACTCTTGCCCGGGGCTTCAAAGGGCCGCCCTACAGGCAATCAGTGTAAAGAGTTCCTGAAGCTAGCTAAGCTGCAGAAACGAAACCGAAACCAGGATCTTTGGTGCAACGTGACAAAATGAGGCAGAGAGAGATTTATTTTTATTTTTATTTTTCATCCCCAAAAAAGGTAGGTGAAAAACTGCAAACAATGGGAAATTTAGGAGGAGAGTTCAAGATTTTAAAACACAAAAGAAAAAAAAGCTGTATTTAACTAGGGAATTGTAATAATTGAGATACTATTAATTGTATATTGTGTTGAAAGCAGAAATGGTTAAGTTGTGGTTCAGAGGAATATATGGGGAAAATTATTTGGTTTATTATTATTGGTAAATATAATTAATTGATTTGTAAGAAATTGGATTGCATGGAAATAATTGGAATATTCATGTTCATATTGATTAATATACAAAAAAGATAGTTTTATAACTAATTGATTTATATTAAAATGTTGAATTTGTATTAAACAACTGTATTACATAATTACATAATTAAACAATGTGAGGATGGATATAAAAATAGATGGCAATGGGAAGGGGTATAATATAGAATAGAAGGAAAAAATTTAATTTGATTAAGATTAGAGATGAGGATGAAGGGTAATACTGGTTTTTTTAAAAAAATAGATGAGGAATAAATATGGCAAAAAGGAAATATAGAAATTGTAAATTTAATTGAAGTGACTAAACACTGTTTAAATTTGTGAACCGGCCAAATACTCTGTTCAAAGAAAATAAATTGTATGTTTGTATGTGTGTTTCTAATTACTGCTATTTATTCATATTTGTTCTCTTTTATTCTTTAAAGTTTAACCATTCATTCTTTATCTTAATATCTTTATATTTGTTTGGGGTTGGCTTTCTTCCCTTTCATCTTTTTTATTGTACAGCAATCTTTCTCCTCAAACCTACCACCTCTCTCTTTTCTTTCCTTCTTACTTTCTCTTCCCCCCTCTTCTTCTCCTCCCTACTTCCTCTTCCTTTCTCCTTCTCCTCCTCTCTTCCTCCCCCTCTTACCCTCACTCCTACTCTAATTTCCCTTCCCTTCCTTCATCCCTCTCTATTGCTGTATCCTTTTATGCATATGGACTACTCAGAGGGCTAAAAAAGTTATTTTTGACTGGTCCTCGCACTTTTGACCAGTCCTCAAACTTACGACTGTCTTCACATTTTACGTTTTTTGCCCTATCTTATCACCATGGTGAAGAGAAGCAGTTGTGAAATGAGTGACATGGTTGTTAAGGATGCTGCATGGGCATAAATGTGAGGATGGTCATAAGTGTGAGGACCAGTCAAAAGTGCGAGGATCTGTCAGAAATGACTTTTTTCAGCCCTCTGGTTAGTCCTTTTGTGCATATGGACTACTCAGAGGGCTGAAAAAGTTATTTTTGATTGGTCCTCGCACTTTTGTCCAGTCCTCAAACTTACGACTGTCCTCACATTTTACATTTTTTGCCCAGTCTTATCACCATGGTGAAGAGAAGCAGTTGTGAAATGAGTGACATGGTTGTTAAGAATGCTGCATGGACATAAATGTGAGGATGGTCATAAGTGTGAGGACCAGTCAAAAGTGCGAGGACCTGTCAGAAATGACTTTTTTCAGCCCTCTGAGTAGTCCCTATACACATAGCCATGGCCACCCGGTCACATGACCAGGTAGCCACGGCCACCCAGTCACATGACCAGCTAGCCACGCCCACAAAATAAGCCACGCCCACAATGGTGTCCCTCTTTACCAATCTTAAAATCTGGTCACCTTAGCTTAAAGTGAAATTAACAATTTTACTTAAAAATTTTCAAAAATAAAATGAAGTAGAAATTAAATGAAAACAAGTATTATATACTTGAAATGTGGAATAAAGAATTTAAATATGCAAACTTGAAAATCATTAGAGCCAGGTCCAAGAAATGTAAACACAGATATTGATTTAAGAAAAAAGCCAATACATCAGAAAATATGTTTCATGTTTATGGAACCCTCAAAGAATGTTTTTAAAAGACTGGGTATCAAATTATTTTTTGTGTGTATTGTCACTGTCACAAGTGTTTCCAGGATTGCTGTGGCTACTTGCTTACTCACAAAACAGTATGGTTTCAATCAAGCCATCTCCTGTTTGTAATTACCTGCAAGCCTTCCCCGCCCTAGTTAATTGCAGGTTAACTCCCCATATAAGCAAGGACCTTTTCGCTTGCTACTTGGGCCTAGACTCCTGGTTTAGACCTAAATGCACAGCTCCTGCAGGAAGCTTAGTGCAACGCCGCAGATGGGAGAAGAATGCAGATAAGGACTCCAGACGCCGTTGCAGAGAAACTCCCACGGATGCTTGCCTTTTGCTGTTTTGTAGCACGCAAGCTATCATTGGGACTGCTGTTGCTGGACCTTCTTCCTCCCACAAGCTTCAAGCAATGTTTGCTGTTTGAACTGTTTTTACTTCAGGTGACTTTTAGCTGTGAAGTTTGTGCTGCCCCCACTTGGATTGCCTTGATGATGTATCGATGCCGAAGCTGCTTACCTTCATGCTAGCTTTATTCTCTTGTGAACTGTTTCGGTATTGTGGAGAGGGATCTAGGGAGATAGCCTTGCTTCACATACCCAGATAAGACTTTGTTTTTAATGTGCTTTCTTAAAGACATAGTGCTTTTTAAATGTTTTAAAGTAAATTATATTTTTACACAAGACGCCTCTGTCAGAATTATTTCAGTCTCAGTGTGTTTACTCATGAGCTGGTTCACGGTCCGGGGTATCCCTCAACCCCATTTCATAACAGTCACTATGGTTTGTTCATGTCCTACCACAGCTCTTCTTTGGTTTTGACTTACAGTTTACATTAATAATTTTGGAAGGAAATATAACTTGAAAGATGTAAATATTATATTCCTACTGTAAGGACATTGTCATTTTTTGGGAATTTTTTTGGAGCATTTTGGGGGAGGGGATTGGACTTTTTGGACTGTTGCCTTCTGGCAGAAGACACAGAACAAAAACTTAAAACTTGGACCACACGTCTTCTGAATAGTTTTTATCCCAAAACTATAATTGCACTAAATAATGAACTAAAGGGCTACCATCAGTGAGCTGTTGGACACCATTAGTTGGTCTGCTGTGTGGATGCTTAGGTGGTTAGGGATGGGGAATTTTTGGTGTGTGTGTGTGTCTGGGATTATCATGTGTATTAGCTTGGTCTCTGGGTGTTATGTGAATTTTGTTGTATGGATATACTGTACAATGACAAACTTTATATAAAATCTTATGAAAAGCTTTGGTTTTATTAAAGAATAAAATTACAGAAATATAAAAATGTCTAAAAAATAATAAGGGGTGGATTCAAGATATGCTTATTTAGAGATGTTTTTATATTCCAAAAATGAAAAGCTGGAACAATGTTTCTCTATGCCAAGATTTAGTCATAACCTCATAGATTAAACCAATCTCACCTTAACCATGTGAATTTTTAAAAAAATTAGTTTTAATTTTTATAATCTATGTTGCTTTTTTAAAAAAAGAACAGTGGTTAGCCTAGCACAAGCTTATTGTTCAAATGAAGAAAAATAGGTAATATTTAAATAAAATAGTTTATCAAAGGAAAAGAAATCACAGTAGAATCTTCCTGTAATTTTCAAACTATTTTCCCCAAGGGAGTGCAACTATATTTCCTGCTATATATTAGATCAACTAATATGATTAATGTGCAGATATGGATTTTCAGAAATTGTATACAGGTAGTCCTTTTTTAATCCATTTAATTTGGAGTGGAATTTCTATTGCTAAGCAAAGCAGTCATTAGGTAAAATTTCACATGACTGTACTGTTTATCAACAGCAGTTTCAATAGTTCCAGTAGTGGCTGATCGGCAAAGATTCATGTTTCTCTTATCCTGCTATGCTTACCTCCTCTTCAACTCTCCACACCCACCTATCTACTCCCATTTATGCCCTTTGATTTCCCTGCACTTTGCCTTGACCTCCACTGCCTTTGCACTCCAATGCCCCTGCTGACTTTTACTGTCTTTGTCCCACTGCTGATAAGTGTGCCTGGCCTGGCCCTTCCTGACGCCTTTTTCCTGAAACTGCATGCAGTCTTTTTGAAGCCTCAGAAAGCCTTCCCAAGGCTTTGGGAATAAGGCTTCACTGGGCTGCAGCCATCTTATGAAAGGTTGGGGTGGGCATGCCTTGCCAACAGCATCAGGAGGAAAAAGCCAGTGATTGTATTTTTCAGCTGAGGACAGCGGAATGCAGGTGGCAGGGGCCATGAGGGTGCAGGCTGATTAAAAGGGCAAATATGATAGGAGATAAGCAGGTGGGGGTAAAGTAGTCCTAAATGAGTAGGCTGCCAATCACCCGAATTTTGGTCAACATTGCAAGGGTATTGCAATGGCTGCAAATATCATTTGTTCAGCACCATTGTAACTTTGAGCGGTCACTGAATGAGTGGTCATTAAATGAGTATTACCTGTAGTTTAATGCACAGGTAAAAAAAAGTTTATATATAAATTTATTAGAAACACAGTTGTAATAAATGAATAATTCTTCCCCCACCATAAAGCCTGTATCTCATTGAAAGCATAAGTACTGCAGCGAACAGGTAAACTTTAGATAGCTAGTAGTATATTAAAAGTTGTTCCTTTCTAAATAAAAAGATGTCCTGCATAATCTGTACTTCCATTCCAATCACAAAGAGAGAAAATGACAACACATTGACATTTCGGAATACTTTTAACACTACTATCTGTACTTCTATTTTCCTAAAAATACAATCTGAGTATTTGGGATATAATGAAAGTCAGGTATAATTCAAGAATATTTGTGGAATTCAGCTCTTTTACTCTTATCTCTCCCTCCTCCCACCCCCAAATCTAGGTTCAAGGTGTTTCATGCCTCTCTATTCCAGATTACACATGATAACATATTGTTCAAAGATTAATTTGATTATATTATTAAAACATCACTAATACTTAAAATATAGTCAAGTTGTTATTTGTCAATTTTTCAGCAAACATTATGCTTAATTTGTTTTGAAAAAAGCTCTATAACTGAAAATTTATAATGAAAGTTAATTAAACCAATATAGATTAGCAATACTGTTTAACAGAAACTGGCAAGTAACATACTAAATGAAAACTAAGAATTTTAATGCACAGGTAATCCTCGACTGATGACCATAATAGAGACTGTCCATTATGGTTAGAGATCTTTTTTGTATATATTTTATTTTGTTTAAGACAGTTAAAATAGGGGAGGGGGGGAATCCAAGAAAGACAAAGTCCTTGAAGGCCTTGGGCTTGTTTCCACCCCAACAGAACCTATACTCTCCTCATCCATTGTGCATTTACTTTTCAAACTCTGGAGCTAGGATTAGGAAATGATAGGGGTCCTTGTTTCTGAGCTATGTGGTGCAATCCTGAAGTGGATGCCATTTTCTAAATGGCCACAATTTTTTTTTTTTTTAATTTGATTTATATGCCGCCCTTCTCCGGAGACTCAGGGCGGCTTACAATGCGTTAAGCAATAAGCAATAGCCTTCATACTTTTGTATATTTATACAAAGTCAGCTTATTGCCCCCATAAACTCGGTCCTCAATTTACCTACCTTAGAAAGGATGGAAGGCTGAGTCAACCTTGAGCCTGGGGAGATTCGAACTTGCAGTAATTGCAGGCAGCTGAATGTTAATAACAGGCTATTAGTCTGCTGCGCCACCAGGCTCCTCCTAACCTATTCAATAGATTACTTCCCCAAAATGGTGACCAGTTATGGGATTGCAGCCATAACTGGCCATGAGGTCCAGGAGCAGAGTGACCTATCTTCCTTTCCTAACCAGATATCTTTTAAAGGTGAGGAGGAGGTTGTGGAGCCCTGTGGGGGGGAGTGGGCCCAAGGCAAGTAGAGCCCAGGTGCGGGGGAGATAAGCAGAGGTGTTGCTGCAGTGTCCCTGTGGTTGGTCATAAGAACAAGTGACCTTGAGGTCCTACAGCAGGTGTAATTTTGAAACAGGAGTTTAAATAACTTTGGCGGAGGTCCACCATAACTTCAAATAGTCACTAAGCAACCAGTCATAAGTCGAGGACTACCTGTGTTTATATTTCAGATATCATTATGGTAGTAACTTGATTAAACTGGCTTGAATTAAATAAGCTTTTTGTACTGCAACATGAATCTATTTTAAACTCTTTTTTTTTAACCATACCTAAGGTATACAGGAACAAAAACAGATGGGTTTATGTTATTCTGATTTTAACCAGCTATTTAAGTTCTTTATTACAATCTACAATTCTGTGAGTTATACTTGATATAAAAATTGAAATACAGTATGTTATTGAGCACTTAGCATATTGTGAAATCCAGTCTATGGACTGTGATCCAGATGACATTCTTTTAAAAGTATTGTTTATTCTTCAGATTCTTGAACCTTTTCACTAACAATGTTTTCTAAAGTAGTTTCCTCTTCAAGAAAGCTACAAACCGCTGGAGATGACATAGTCATTTTTATGCTGGGAATCACTTCACTTTGGTCTCCAGTACTTTTTATTTCCATGTCTTTATGAGTTTCAGGTTCAGAGGACTGTTCTTCACTTGTTAAAATAGATTCTGCAATTCGTGCTGCTTCTAGAGTGAAAACAACCATGTGTCAAATGAAACATAGAATAATGTACATTTTGATAAGTAATACAGAAAACTGACACTCTCGTGCCTGAATTTCAACTAATACAGAAAGCTACTTGTAATATTTCTGTTAATTTGAAAATAAATTAAAAGGAGAAACTTAACCAAAATGTGATGCCATATGTGTTAATATTTTTAACAGTAAAAGTATCATATCTGCATAAAAGAATATCTAGCTTGTTCAGTCTAAGCAGGTTAGTTAAGGGAACCCATGTTTCATTTTTTACCTAATATGAATAGGCTAACTAACTTGATCAGACTGAAGAAGCTACTTAGATTAGCAGCAAAACATTTCAAACAAACAAAAATTGGAAATTAAAATTAAAATTAAATTTAAAAAAGTCCACTTGTCATGATTCAACTTCCAGACATTTTGATGGAAGAGGATCCACAAGAAAAGAAAGTCTTCCTGCTAAGGGAGATGGGCATCACTAATCCAATATGGGTACAGGAAGGGGAAAGTGGTAAAGGATAGGGTGTCAACAAGGTTCCTCTTGCCTGAGGTGCCTGTGTGGAGAGCTGAGACAGTTCCCTTGTTCTCTGTTCCTGTCCAAGATGTTTGTTTTACCACAAGTGTGACTTGGTATCTGCCATGGAAAGATCTATGACATCTCTTGTATATCTACTCCCAACTGTTCTTCGATCTGAAGCAACTGAAAGGAGAGCCTTCTTGGCTCCATTTGACATTCTGAGTTGTGAATTGCTGGAGTGCTTGCAAAGAAAAGGTGTCCATGGGCAGCTTGATTTGCTGGCTTAGATCACATCAACTTGGGACTCATGCTGGCTTTTTCTGTTTTATTGGGGCAGAATCTGTGGGGGAAATTAACTGGCCTTGGCAAAAAGATGGTGCCTTGTGATGGCAACTGCTTTGTTGTGAAGAAAAGTTTGATCAAAAGAAGGGGACTGCGAAGAGGTCAGGACTTGGTAAGCAGTCATGGAGCTGCCTCTCTGCCTGATTTGGCAGAACACAGGAAACACTGTCAGATGGCCATCAATCCCCCAACAGAGCACTGAGTTGCAAGGAAGCCTGAACGGCTGGCCCAGGAGGTGGATCCCTGGCTGGAAGGCATTGCCTTACTTTTGTATCATCTCCTTAGAAAGTTTTCTGCTCTTTGAGAGGGAGAGAAAAGAAAACAGATTTCTATCGGCAATGTTTCCTGTGCCTGATGTACCTCACACCGCAAGAGAGGAGAAACTGGAGAGAACTTGATTACAAGGGAGTAAAGAGGCACATTGTCTATTCACCTTGCACAATTGCAATGCCAATGCTAGGGCATTGCTTCAGATGTGTATTCTTCACTGTGTGCTGTTTACTGTCTTCATGTCTTCAGCAAAAACATGAATCCCAGTCATATGATTGAGGATGCAGCAAATGGCCAAAAATGCAGGCTGGTTGCCAAGCACCCCAAATGTAATCATGTGTACATGCGGGGGGGGGACACAGGGGGGGAAAGCAAGTCGTAAGAATCTTTTGGTCTGCTATAATTTTGAACCATACTAACTGTAATGGTGATTATGTGACCAAGGGACATTGTGAAGGTTATAAATGATTGTATCTTGGTTATAAGTTTATTTTTCCAGTGCTGTTGAAACTGCATGGTCACTAAACAAATTGGTTATAACCTGTGGATTATTTGTACCAACAAATATTTACACTTGCCAAAAATCAAATTTTCAGGTGAAAATTAAATGCCAAGAAAAAGATTTTAAGATTGAGAAAGATTATTAGCTCAAGGTTGCAAGAGTTCTATCTGAAAAAAATTCATTAAAAAACTGCCATCATGTAACCATAGTATAAAATGCTGTCTCAGGATAATCTGTCTGAATATGGCAGGGAATTTTGACAAAGATAAAAATATAATAGTAGTTCACTAGTGCAAAGATTGTCAGGTCCTGTTATTTTGGAACACAACTATCATCTGTTTTAGTTATTAGTTTGTTTTGAAGATATTTCCCACCATAAAGGACATATTCCTAAATCCACTTGAAATAACAAGGTATCTCAACCTTTATTTTTTTCTTTGGCTGCTTCTACCGTCTGCTTCTCATAAATCTTCTTTAGCATGCTGCATGATTTCTTGTGTGTAAACCAGTGCATTTTCTGGCAAGTCTGATCACAGTAAATAACCTGAAAATCAATAAAATTATATTACCATTTTTATTTTTAAAACGGTTTGAATACCTAAGTACCAGACACACGCCTTTACAATAACACAAAAATAGGACTTAGATTTGCCTTTTGTTTGTTCACACACTTGGAATTCTAATATTGAGAAGTTGTTTTCTTGTTCTCATTTTAAAAGTTAAAATTAGTTTTGAAGATTGAGATACAGTACCATAAATGTATACAAATGGCTTGTCACTCAGTTATAAGTAATTTTATTTGGTAAATAATTACAAAGAATGGGAAAATAAAAAGAAAGAACATACAAGTGATGGTAGGAAAATAATGTAGGAAAAAAACCTTAGCTGAAGGAAGCAAAAATAATAGTTAGTGAGAATAGGTTTCTGCCCATTGATACATGGAAGTGGGAATTGAAAAATAAAAGATGAATGCAATGGGGAAGATTATAAGTGTGTGTGATAAATGAACGAGGGCAAGAATGACCAGATGAGTGACCAGTATGAAGTGTGTTAAGATTGCAGACAGATTGAATGACTGAATTATAAAATAAACATGAAGGAGAAGTGAACGGGTCAAGAAGAAGACCAAGTAATACAGTTGTGAAAATATGGAAGAGAAGTAGAAAGTGTGAAAGAAAAGCAATATGAATTAGTGTATAGATGTGTCAGAAATATGAATTGTTTCTAAGGATCACAAAGTACGGAGCGGTGATCTCTTTTTATCGTATGATGCATACTGTGCATTTGTGATATGCATGATGCTTAACCTAAAAGAGAATTGAGTGTTGGTTATTTATATACTGTAAGTGATGGAGGGTAGATTTGTTTATTAGTTTATCTGCATATTCTTACCATTTTGCATGTAGAACATCTTTTGTCTGCTCCCTTTTCCCCACATGTTGTACAAAATTCAGCATCTATAAAGCCTATTTGGCCAGTAATAGCTTGTGTAAGTACAGAAAATGCTGTGGGATCAGAACCCTGGAAAGGCAAAGGGAGATGAACTAGCAGTTTTGCTTAACAATTCTAAGTCCAAGCCCAAAAGGTTCTATGCTCTAATTGTTGTTTTTTTTAAGTACCTGACATGCATCTACCTTAATACCAGGTATCCTGAAGAGAATGAAATGATTTAGGGCAAAATTTCTAAAATCTGTTCTCACTGAAAGAACTAACAGTTTTCATTTAAGAAATCTATACAATCTAACTTGATTAATTTTATTCTTGAGAAACTAATTAAAAAGAGAATGGAAAAGAAAAATGGTATTTTCAAATGTTATTTAAAATGGCTGTCTATTGCTTAATTGTATGCACTGATTCTCAGGCCTTTAAACCAACTTGCCAAAACAAAAGGCAGGAAGATGAAGACCCACTGATGAATAACTTGCATTCTACTGTCAGAGTAGGTTTGGCTGAGACCATATAACTTGTCTATGAATCAGCACTCTTTCCTGTGCAGTGTTTGCCAATTCCACACTGCTTAATCTAGACAAACTGGAAACCCAGGGCAATCAGGTATCACCAGAATACCATATTTTTCGGAGTGTAAGACCAGAGGAGGGTTCTAAATTTTTTTACTACCCGTTCTGTGGGCGTGGTTTATTTTGTGGGCATGGCTTGATGGTTATGTGATCATTCTTTAGGATTTAGCAGAGGTACTGGTCTACCAGGCTTTTAACTGCTTGCAGAGCTGTACCAGTCTACCCATTTATTTTTGCAGGCACTGGTCTACTCGTGTATTTTTGCAGGCACTGGTCTACCCATTTATTTTTGCAGGCACCGGTCTGCTCATTTGTTTTTGGAGGCACCGGTCTACCACCAAACTGCCTTTTACCACTGATCAGCTGTAGGGCGTCCTTTGAAGCCCCTGGCAAGAGTTTAAACAGGTTTTTTCCTTATAGCCCATCAGCTGGGACTCAGGAGGCAGTAATAGATTGGGGATGGGGCCAAATAAAAGGTAAGAATAATGTGGGGGGTGGGCAGAACCGGTTCGGTGATGTCATATCGTCACCGCTACCGGCTAGGCGGAACCAGGCCGAACCAGGAGGAAACCACCTGGCAGCATCAGAAACCTGACACCACCACTGTATAAGGCGCACCGGAGTATAAGACGCACCTATCTTTTTTGGTGACGAAAAGAAGAAAAAGAAATCTCCCTCTGCCTCTGAGCAATTTTGTCTCATTGCAGCAAACAGCAAACAGCCTGGGTTACTTTCATTTTCATTTTCAGCATAGGTTGATTAGCACAAAGAAAAAAAATCTGCTCCAGCAATTTACCTCTTTGCAGCAAGCAGCAGAGCCTGCGCAAAACAGCTAAGACCAAATCAGCTGAGAGTCGGGAGGCCTACGAATTAATTAGGCTGTGTTGAAGCTAAAAGGAGCTGTTTTTTTCTTGCTATTTACTTGCAAGGAGGTAACTGCTGCGAGGCACAGGCCAAAGGGTGAGGGCCAGTGGGTGGGTGGGGCTACATTTGGTGTATAAGACGCACCTAAATTTTCACCCCCTTTTAGGGGGGGAAAAGGTGCGCCTTATACTCCGAAAAATACGGTAACTATGAACTCTGCTAGTCAGAACTTCTGTTATTTGGAAATTATCTTAAAAGGTACACAGAAGACTCATCAGTCAGTCAGTCCTAAAAGCATCCAGCTGTATGTTTCTGGCTGTGAACATTGACATGATTTGGAACATTATGTGTTATCCTGCAGACGTCTAAATCAGGAAACAATATGTTGGAAGGATTGAGAGTTTGGTACCCATGCTAATTCCTGGATTATGTCACTGCTGAACCAATCAGCTAAACTGCCAGAAATTTCCAAAAGGCATTTGCCTTGTAAACATTTTAGAGCAACTATATCTTTGATTAATTGAAACTGAAATTGGCTTCTTCCTGAATTGGGCTGCCAACAAGCAAGTCACTGCTCATCTTGTTTTCTATTATGTGTCATTAAGAAAATATATTGTGTTAAGCCTGTTGTTCTTCGTGCTGCTGCCATTCTTTTCTAGACTGCTGCTTGTCACTGCCTTCTATCAGATCTTAAGAATTCGTAAAGCATGATTCCATATTTCTTCCCTGTGCTAATTTGAAAGGGAAGACAAGGACAAAGCAAAATAAGCTTGTCCTTCCAAGCTTGTTGCTGCTTCTGTATCTTTGTTGCCTGATTGTGTTCAGGTCAGTTATCCAGCTGGGTTAGATAACTTTTAACAGATGCACTGAAGCATCTGCTTAGATAGCTTTCCCCCCCCTGCAGCCAGTGCCAGATTGATTCATGTTTGTGCCAAGTGCTAGTTGTTTTGCCTCTAAATGTTTATTTAGGTGACACTAGAAAAATCCATAATACCTGGTACCTTAGGTTTTCATGACTACTATGCGAGTCTTAGAAACTTAAAAGGTTAGCAAGGGCTGAGCTAAGGCAAAAGTCAATTTCTGAAAAAACATGAGGAAGCATGTACATAACACTTTGAGATAACCACCCAAAGAACCAAATTTGCAGAAAGCTGTCCCTCACCTCACATTAATTAGAATTTGGTTACAGTGAACATGTGTAAATAATGAACACTAAAAAAGTATCTTATCGATTCTAAATGTTCAGTCTGTACAGAACAGACACACTGTTCATCAAGATACACTCACAATTTCAACAGGAGAAATGTTTCTCACAAGCTGCTGCAGCAAGGTAGTTTCACAGTAAGGAAATTTTCGAATAGATTCCCTGATGATCTTCTCTTGATAAACCGGAAATCCATCTCTCTCTCTGCCTTTTAACAGGCTGCAATTAAAGGTAAATACAGCTGAAGTTACATATGTTGCCCATGTTTTTTTCTTCCTACTCATGCAAATGTTATATGTATAGCATAAATCTCAACATAAAGAAAAGCTGCAATGAAAATATTTAATGTAGGAGTTTTGTGAGGGCAATATATTCTTTTACTTCAAAGATGATAGCATTGGATTTTAATTTCTAAAGAATATACTTTTTATAACAATGTAATTTTTCCTTCAGCTTTAGCTAAAATACAAAACTGAAATGTAAGGTATGGTTACCTTATGTCTCAAATGGTGCATCCATTCCAATGAATTAATGAGAAGCTCCAGTTTCATAGTTAAACATTAAAAGTACAAGAATCTGTACTTGTACAGATAATATATTGTATTGAAAAGAACAATACTGAAAAAAATAACATACCTTTTGATTAATCCATCCAATTTGTCTTCTCGCTCAAGGAAAATGATACATTTTTTGAAAATGCAGCTAATGTAGTGCATTTTAATTGCAAGGACTTCATTCATTTCTCTCTGCTTCATGCACTTCTCACAAATCAGATCCAATATTTTGTAACATTTCTGCATTGCTTCAACTTCTGCCAAAAGAGGATTTTCTTTCACCAGCAACACAACCTATAGAAAATATTTATATACCCAGTAAGTTCTACATCCCAAGACAGACCCAGTGCACAATTGGCGTTCTTCTGCACTTATGGCTCTTGCTCAAGCTTTGTATGCCGTTCCTGGAACAGGAGGTTCATGCCCTAGTCATCTTACATATAAATTATGCATTTGATATGGGGCTACCCTTGAAGGTAGCTTGGAACTAACATTGGGGCAAAATGCAATAGCATGATGCATTTGTTTGTGAATCTACACATTATGTTATCTTTCTACTCTCTGTGTTGCACTGGTTACCAATTTGGTTCTAGGCCCAATTGAAATTGCTGCAGCTACCCTTTAAAGCCCTATTTGGCATGGGGTTAGCTTATTTCAGAGACACCCTCCTCCCCTCCCCAGTGCCATGTACCCATATCATCAGATCTGGCAGGAGAGACTTGTTGCAGTCTGTCCACTACAAAGTGCCACCTGATAATACCCTGGAGGAGAGCTTTTTTGCTGCTGTTTGTGAAAAAGCATTCCTCCAATGCCAGGCTGATCCCAATCTTGATGGCCTGGGGGTCAAGGTGATGTGGAGCCCATAAAATGGCTGTGCTGTTCATAAATTACTGTTTTCCAAGTGACTGTTATCTACAATTTTAATTGTTTTTATTTGTGTGTGAGATTGCTTTATCTTACATTCATGAATGTAAGATAGGCTGCTGAATACACCAAATAAAAAAAAGAAAAAGGAAATAAAGTTAATTCTTTTCTGAATTAAATGTTTATAGCATGCATTCACAAGTGCAGTTTAATAGAACTACACATATACTCTCTTTCTCTGTATATGTATTGATATGTACATAAAAGGGTTAAGCCTGAATTACCAAAGACTACTCTTTGGGACTATTCATGCTAGTTGCCCTCAGTATTGTTGTACTTTTTGAGACATAGATAAAAATAATATGTTGCCTTTATTCATCTCTTTCTCACTGTTTTTCCCTGACTTTAGTCTGTTTTTGCCAGTGAAATGTTTTGTTTACTTATGTTTAATCAATAAGTACAAAGCTATATTTTTTGCCAATGCAACTGAGTGGTACATGGAGGCCATGGCCAGAGAGGTCTATGCTCATATATGGTGGTGCAAAATTGTGACCATACCTGGGGCAAAATGACTGTGTTTCAGCAACCTCTGCCCTCATTATCACACATATTAAGTATTTCAATACACTTGGGGCTGTCCTTACAGTCTACTTGGAAACTACATCCCATGTGCTTACTGGCACTAATTCTGGAAGATACAACATCAACTTTGCAGGCTGCAATGGTTACTAGTAAGTTTCCAAGTAGAATTTAAGATGCTAGTGTTGATCTATAAAGCCTTTAGGGTTGGGCACCTTTCAGATTGTCTGTTCTAATCAGTATCATTCCGATCAGTTAAAATTGTTAGAGAGAAGCTTCATGTAATTTTACACTTCTCAAAAATTTGAGATGCTAAGGCTAGATGGCATTGTTTCTCTGGCAATTCCAGTAACAATAGCACTTATATACTGCTTCATAGTGCTTTCTCTTAGCGGTTTATAATGTCAGCATATTTCCCCCAACAATCTGGGTCCTCATTTTACCAACCTCGGAAGGATGGAAAACTGAGTCAACCTTGAGCCCTGTCAAGATCAAATTTCAGGCTCTGGGAATGCTGCAGTATAACCACTCTGCCACCAGGGCTTTTGTATTTTGGAGATCACACTGGCCTTGTCCATGTTGATTTTCTGGAATCTTTTAAAAATTGTGTTGTTTCTGTGGGCCTGTCACTGTGTCAATAGACAAACTGCTTTCCATTTCTTGTTTATTTTCTGTTATTGTTGTTTTTTTATATCCTTAGTGTTGCATGTCAGGGCTGATGTCCTAATCATTGTTGTAACTGATTGGAAACTTATCCTGGATCTTAACTTAAAGTATATCATGTAATTCATCCTGATTGAAGCAAAGTAGAAATATAATAAACAATCCTATTAAAAGAATCTGTCATCTGGTACCTGAAAGCAATGTTCTAAAAAAGGTAAATAGATACCTCTTGCTGAAAAAAAAACATTTCAAAAGAACTATTTCATGACTAATATAAACTTTACACTGACATGTACTTTCTTTTAATGTGATTTTGTTTAGCAGAACATGAATCTACCTAATCTAGTAACTTCCATATGTGTTCTGACCACAACTGTAAAAATTCCAACCCAGCATGGCTATTAGATAAGTTTTGAGAATTGTACCACTAAATTGTAACACTGAAAATTCCAACACAAAACTCCATACATCACAAAGTTGCCAAATTAAGAAACGCTGGTCTATACAAAAATCTGGGACACTATAGCAAAGAAAATGTGAGTTTCAAGTGGAACATATTTTATATACATATAGTATCATGTGAAAATTAGACATTAAGGCACTGCAAAAAGGACTGGACTATACAGTAATAAAAATGCCTTAAAATACAAATTAGGTAAATCACAGGATTCATTTCATTTTTGCAGGTCCAATTAGCTGGCAACATGTTAAAAAAACATATCCAAATAAGAACATATTGTACCTTAACAGGATGCAAATTAGTAGTTGTAATGATCTTATGTAGAGGTCCAGCTAGCTTAATTGGAAGCTTGGGTTCTTTATCCAGTCCTTGTGGTTTTGTGTAGTAGTTTAGCTTTTCACGTGGAAAGAAGTTGTTGATAACTGTTACACAATCATGCTGACCTAAAAAGAGAAAATAATTTCCCTTTATGATGTGAAAAACTATGTAATTATTAATTCACAATTAAAGCTGATGATTTGGTGATGAAGCATAGTTTGCTAAAAAATACTGAGGAAGACATTGAAAATAATTTAACTAATAACTGATAGATTCCAATCAAGTCTTCTGTACAGAAAATTCAGGATCTAAAATAGATTCATTTTTGACATATAATTTTAAACTCATTCCCATTTTTCAGGCCTATGTTTCTTTAGTAAAATGTGCTGTATCAATCCAATCTAAAATATATAATCATACAAAGATTTAATACTTCTAGAAATATCTCACAATTTTATATCAATATATGTGGATGTGTTAGCTAAAACGAAGAATGTTTTTCCTACCAAAATATTTTACACTTTTTCACGATTTAATTTAACATATGATGCAAATCAAGTTCCATTCTTTAACAGAAAATGCAGAAGATATCTTAAATATTTAAGACAAGCAGAAGAGTAGGTTATAAATCTAATAAATAAATGAAAAATAGAGACAAGACATCCTTTATCTTTACCCACAAAAGCAGCCATCTGAGCTGCAGTTCTCCCCACAGAATTGACGACATCAATCTCTGCTCCAGCCTCTAACACCATCCGGGTTATTTCTTTATTGCCTAAATGAAGAAACTTTATTTAGACTTTTTAAAGATGTTTTCACAAACTATAGATTAAATAGGTTTCCCTCTGATAGATATTAAAACTAACCCTTCTACTAACAAGAAAGAAATCAAACAGTTGTTTTTCTAATAGAATCAATTACACAGGTTCAAATTTTTTTTCTTACTGTACCTTCAGTTGGAAGCATCTGCAGGCATAGAACATAGCCATTTTTCTTTTCAAAGGTGAAACAAATATCAACAAACTATCTTCAACTGTTGCTTTCTAGAACTTCAATTGGCTGCTATTCACCCACCCATCCACCCTTATTCTGATCAACTGATGCCAAAGACTTGACTCTGCATGTTCTCCAATTAGGAGAAAAAGAAAAGAACACTGCACCAAATAGCATCCTAATATATGGGTGAGAAAGCAGTCAGTTCTGTGAACATGATTAAGAATTTAATTATTTATATTAAATCAAGCTACAAAATCTTATACCAAATCAAAATGCCCCATCCCGTTGATTTCCTCAAATTCTGTTACCATCTAGTCTTTTCTATCAGCACAACTCAAATAAAAAGAAAATATAACTTTAAAAATATATGCCTGATTAAGAGATTATGTCATCAGATTAAATTGAAGATCATTTTTACACATTTATAGAGAACAAAATCTTCCTAACAAAATCTTTTCTGAGGACTCCTCTGTAGTCCCTCAGAAAAGAACTATTTTTTTTTTCTTTACATAAATAAAAAGCTGTATTTAACAGAAAAAGGAAAACACTATTTACCTGACAGTCCAGCAAACATTAAGGCAGTATATCCATATTCATGATTGTTGCAGTTTACATCAGCTCCATGTTGCATCAATAGTCTGCATATATCAGTTTTACCCTTATATGCTGCATGCATTAGAGGGGTCATTCCATGCTAATGAGAAAAGGTATAAATGCAAGTTCCATTTGTTTTCTAGTTAATACGGTAGTACCATAGCAAGACTTATGTTAGGTGGACTAGCAAAAAAGTATTAATTGTTAGAATCCTAAAGCTAAAAATGTGGCAAAGCCCTAAGACCCAGTAAAAATGCAGGTGAGCAGTATAACAATATAATATTTATCTTGTTATATAGCTTAACAAAAATATTTTAACTCCATTGCCTTAATATAACCAAGTTGTTAAAGACAAGATTTTTTCTTCTAATTTTAAATTCATGATTGCTATTTTTATTCCCCTTTAGAAATTTTCTGTTCATTATGTTGTGGATATTTTATATAACACTTAGTGTCTGTTTTATATCCACTTGATTTAGCATATTGTCTCATTATTTTGAATTTTATTGCAAATCTTTTTGAGATTTTTAATGGGAAGCCCTATTGCTTAACGCATTGTAAGCCGCCCTGAGTCTCCGGAGAAGGGCGGCATATAAAAATAAAAATAAATAAATAAATAAATAAATTATGAATAAATAAATAGAACATAGGCTCAAGAGTTCCGACAAAGTCGACCGATCATCCCAGGAAAGACTGTTTAACTAAGGGATGGTAATACTTTCCTCAAACTTCAGTAAATACTGATAAGAAAATATGTACCTAAAATCAGATCCAAATTTGAATCAGAAGGCAGATGTGGTCTACTAGAATGACTTGCCTTTAGTAGAACATGGCCTTTGGATGAATTAAATCAAATTCTCTGGGCTCTGTTGAGCACAGAAACATTAAATATGGAAGAATATGATAATTTCATTTTCAAGTAATCTGAAAATATGAATTGAAAATAAATATATTTAGCTTTATTTGAGTATACATATTTGGAATTACAGCCAGGTTAAAGAGGCATTTGGATTTTATAGCTTGGAAAGGTAGAAGTTTTAAAAATGATTTTAGAAAATGATTAACATTAACAAAAGAAAGAATATCTTTAAAAGAATGAATGTATTTGATAGTTATGTTGTAATCTTTTTATGGCTACAAATTTAGATGCTTATTTTGAATAAACATGTATAGAATTACATTTGAAAGATGATATGATTTATTTCCAACAAAATAGCTATATCTCTTCACACATTTCCACCTCACCTAACTACTTTACTATCATTTGAATTGCTTAATGCTATTACTTATTTTAAAGTATTCATTCTTACTCAAGTTTAAATGCAATTCAGAGATTGCTACTTCCTTGGGCTTAAATTTGTAGCGAAAATTCTTGTTAGGTTTTATTTGGCTTAAGGAAACCTATCAGTTTCAGATCAAAAATGTAATTCTGTAAAATGTTACCTCATCTAAACAATTCACACGGACAGTCTTGCTGCCAAGGAGTCTTGACGCTTCTTCGGTGTTTCCTAAAGGGAAAAAATTTATGAGAAGGAATTATTAAAAAAATGCGCAATATATTTGCATCCTGCATTCTCTTCCAAACAGTTTAATGTATTTATGTATTTTTTCCAAGTCCCCATAAATGTTATAAAGTATTTACATTCACAATTCATGACTGAGCCTTAAGTCTTTTCCAGTTCTATTTCAATATTCTAATCATTACGCTACACTTTTACAGTTTAATAAAAATCTTTAAGACTATAAATTAAAGTTACTGTACATTATTATCCAAATATGTTATTATTAAGAAATAATAAACTACAAAATTATTTCAAGATTTTTGGTCTTAGATCTTTCATCCAATTTTTAACATAGACTGAGATCACAATGTTAAAACTCAGTTGGCCATCACTTGCATCATCTTACTGTTGGAAGAATACAATTATGCCAAGGACCAACTTTTGGGGAATTTGGGCTTTGCCTAACTTTAGTTCTTATTAGTGAGAACTGGTTTGTTGTGTTTCAGATTGTTCAATTAGTGCTGATGCCCCTGAAAAATAAAGCAGGCTGACTATTTTTGGTCAGTCTGCTAATCTATACATAATTCTTTGATCCATTTGGTATGCAAACAACTGATTAAGTGCTAGGTTTCTCTGTGCACAAAAGTATAAAGTAGCATTTGCTTATAAGAACTGGTTTGTCTGAAAATAATTGATGCAAAAGAATCTAACAATGCTTACTAAGAAGAATCCCCTAGTGAAGGGGATCCTAATTCTGAATAAGAATTTTAATTTCCCATTTTGTTCCTATAGACAGTAAAATATAAGCATATAATCTAAAAAATCATAGTATTTAAAAATTTAAATCAAGCCATTTCACAGTACCATGAAAAAAAAATCAAGATAATAAAAAACTACACTTGATTTTGAGGGACGAAAGAGATTTTTTTATTTCACTAATATTTCTTAATGCTATATATTATACAAATAAAAATAATAATCCAATTCGTGCCACTTCTCATTTTTATGTATTACGGTTAATTTTATTTAGCCGAACTATACCAAGAAAAACAGAATAGTTGAATACAGGTAGTCCTCGACTTACAATAGTTCATTTAATGACTGTCTGAAGTTACAATGGCACTGAAAAAAGTGATTTATGAGCATTTTTCACACTTAAAACTTGCAGCATCCCCATGGTTATGTGATCAAAATTCAGATGCTTGGCAACTGACTCATATTTATAACAGTTGTAGTGTCCCAGAGTCATGTGATCACCTTTTGCAACTTTCTGACAAGCAAAGGCAATGGGTAAGCCAGATTCACTTCACAACCATGTTACTCACTTAAAAATTGTAGTGATTCACTTAACAAATGTGGCAAGAAAGTTCGTCAAATGAGCCAAAATTCACTTAACTGTCTCACCTAGCAACAGAAATTTTAGGCTCAATTGTGGTTTGTAAGTCAAGGACTTCCTGTAGTTGATAACTGAAATAGTTGAAAGCAAAGACATGAAGTCAAACATCCAACATGAGTTCCCAAAGTTAGGTCCACATTTGGAGCTAAGAATAACCATAATTTTGGCAGCATTTTTTCTTGGGAAGATATTCTATTTTTCATCATTTCTTAAAAATACCCTCTATTATAGCAACTCTATTGCCATATCTGGAAAGACCATTAAAAGAAGAGCCTCAGATTATATTTTTTCAGTGTGAAGATGGCACAATATAATCATGCTTCCTAATGTCAGGGTATGTTATGACTGAAGTTTCTGCACCATTTTTGAAGGCAGGCCCCTGCAGATTTCAATATTTCAAATGGGATGTTTCGATTTGAGAGCATAATTATTGTAACAATTATCATTGTTGAAGCATCAATCTAACCTGGTGGATGATACACCACTTTAATCTCGAAGATTAACATTGAATTTAGAAGACTCAAAATATGAACCTAAACCATTAAGCATTAAGGAAAATACAGTCCAATGTATTTGGGGGAACCCTGATTAGAAAGACTGAAGTAGATATATCTTGTTCTACAAAGCAGCCATTTGTTCAGCTTAATGCAATTTTGAGCATGCAGTTAACAAGTACTTTATCTGAATCTCATCATGTGAATGAACTGAAGTTAGCATGAACTGGCTCTCACATAGTAATTATAAAACAGAATATATTATTATAAAAAATATAGAAGGAACACAATCAGTCACCACCAGTTCCTCTGTTAATTACAAGTGACAATGATAATGAGGGCCCCATTTGGACATTATCACTTAGGGGTGTACTCACTTTTGTTGCCAGCAGTTTAGACATTAATGGCTGTGTGTTGCGTTATTTTGAGGGGACAGCACATTTACACTAATACAAGCTGTATACTCACTACTTTACATTGTAGCCAAGTGTTATTTCTTCAGTGTTGTCACATGAAAAGATATACTTAAATATTTACAAAATGTGACAGGGTGTACTCACTTCTGTGACATACACTAGATCAGCTTGGAATACCGTATTTTCTGGCGTATAAGACGACTTTTTAACACATGAAAATCTTCTCAAAAGTCGGGGGTCGTCTTATACGCCGGATGTCGTTCTCCTGTAACCAGGCAGACCAGCCCGAAAGGCTCTGACGAGCCTTAAATGGCTCTGGCGATCCAAGCTCTGACGATCCCAGCTTTGCCTGCTAATCAGGCAACGCAGCTGGGATCGACAGAGCCATGTAAAAGGAAAAAAGTTTTTCCCCTCCAGCTTGCCTACCTTAGCTGCTAGTCGCAACGCTTGCCTTGCTTCACTTGCCTGAATCCATTCCATCAGCAAGCCACTCCCTGCCTGCAATCAAGCAGGCAGGGAGTTGTGGACTTCAACTCCCAGAATTCCTCAGCCAACAAAACAAAGCTGGCTGAGGAATTCTGGGAGTTGAAGTCTACAAGTCTTAAAGTTGCCAAGGTTGGAGACCCCTGATCTATTGGGTAAGTTTTTTTCCCCTTTGGGATATTTAAAAAAATAGTTAATTGGAGTTTTTTTTAGTTGTTCTTTTTTAGACCTAGCCATTTAAAGTTTAGGAAAGTTTTAAATTTAGTTTTCATATAAAAATAAAAATAAAATAAAATAAAATAATATTTATGCAGCTTTCTGAGATTTAGTGTGTTTCTGTAGTGTTTCACTCTAACTACACAAACACACAAAATCTCACAAAGCTGTATGTTGAATTTTGTGTGTGTAAAGTGTGAAAGTTGTTTTTTTGGGCTTTTTGTAGCTGTGTGAGGTTCCTGCTTGTTACAGGGGCCATTTTGGGTCTAGCACAGCTGCTTTTACATTGTGGGTGAGCCAGTTGTGTTGTGTTGTGTGTGTGTAAAGTGTGAAAGTTGTTTTTTTGGGGCTTTTTGTGGCTGTGTGAGGTTCCTGCTTGTTACAGGGGCCATTTTGGGTCTAGCACAGCTGCTTTTACATTGTGGGTGAGCCAGTTGATGTTTTTTAATTTTTATTTGGTGTGCATTGGAAGAGGGGTAGTCTTATATGGTGAGTATAGCCCAAACCCTATATTTTAACAGGAAAAGTCGGGGGTCATCTTATACGCCCAGTCGTCTTATACGCCGGAAAATAAATCTTTTTCATCTAGGACTGAATAACAAGTAAGAATGATAGCTTGGGATATATCACTAAAGCCTGATATGTGTTGGGAACTAGGTAGTAAAAGTGGCCCTTAGGTTTAAAATGGGATTGCTACTTTTGTACCAGCCTGACTCCATTGCATAGTAGTTTCACCATCTGAGCTGCTTGGTGTTTTGGCCAAACTGCTAATGGACTTTTCAGATTTATGCTACTGGGGGGCTTCATTCTGCTTTACCTGGGTGAATAGTTGCAGACAGTTCAATAATTCATGGCCCTGATCAAAATACTAAAAGTCCAAGTTACTACAGAAATCACGTGTTACAACATATCTGGATTTTTGTCTCAGGATAGTGGCAGCAACATCTGGAGGTAGGGGATATTAGCAATCATTTATTAAGGTCAGATCACTTTTTAACAACCTTAGAATTATTTGCAATTGTTCCAAGGAATGATCAATTTGACTAGTCTGTTCCAGGCACATGATGGATTTTGATGAATTTCAGAGGAAATTTGTGATGTTCCTAAAATCTGTTGTCTGGTTTGACTAAGGTTTTACCCATACTTGGAATAGAGGAATGCCAGGAGATGATATAGCAGAAGAGACACTTGGAAGCCACAAGGAGCTAATTCAACTAAGCATAGTTAAAGGTAATTTATTTTTGCTCATAGGAGTGGCAAAACATAACAATTTTCTGTTCTTATTATACCTGCAAATAGGAAGCCAGCAGCCCTATTCAAGGTATCCAACTCCCTCCTAGATAAAAATGGCCAGTGGAACATATTTAAGGTATCTTCTGGATACAATTGCTTGGATCCCCTCAAAAACCTATGGAATTAACTGAGGCATATCTGGCTTAATTTTCTGAAAATTGTTTGAATCTTTTGGTCTTCAAGAATTGGAGAGTCCTGGAAGCTGTGGATGCGGCTTCTTGTGTATTATACCTATATTTCTCCTAGTAGATCAAAGCTTTCTGAGAGACAATTTTACAATTTTTGTTCTATCTCTAAATTTTTCCTTTTTTAGGGAAGGCTATTGAGGTGATCAAATGATAGACTTGGAGGGCTCTTGAAAAAACAGATTACCTGGAACATTTTCATTTGGGTTTCAGACAAGGATATAATACCAAAACCACACTGATCATACTTGATCATCTTTGGCAGAATTGGAATAGAGTTCTATCAATGGCCTTCAATGAAATCAATCATAATATTCTTTTCAACCAACATAGAGGATTGAGACTAGAGAATGTGATCTTCTTGTAGTTCTCTTTATTTATCAGATTAATATACTTGCCCATCTCAGAAAGATGACTGGGCAGTATTCAATGTTCAATAAACTGTCACTTAACGTTAACCTTAAGGTAAAATGGGCAGCCTATAAATTTTATTATATAAATAAAATAAATAAACAAATTAAAACGGTTAAAAACAGATAAAAATAAATATTGTTACAAATAAATACAAAATAAAAACTATGGGAGAACACACTAACATCCTACACAGACATATAATTGTCCTTTGTGTTCCCAGAGATTTCCAAAATGTCAGTAGAGTCGGGATGAATCTCACTTCAGGGGGAATAATGTTCCAAAGGGTGGGTACCATGAAAGAAAAGGCCCAACTCCTGTGACCCATCAGATGAAACTCTTTAGCAGATGAAACTAACAACATACTTCTTCTCCTGAGAGGCTGGTTGCAATTGGCATGGTGGAGAAATTTACATCTAGCCGTAGTTTCCAGAATTCCTCATGTCTCAACTCTTCCCCTGCTCATATATAATATCTAGGTGAAGCTGTTAGGCAAGGTCATTTGTCAGTATGTGGTTTATCTATCTAACTTATCTATGCGTTCCTGTTACTCAGATATACAATTCTAACCTTGGTAAATCAACTTTTTTCTATGCTGTTAAGTTTCTTTCTTAGATTCTGAAGCTGGATGGAGAAGAATAGGTTTTGATTTAATCCTAGAATGACTGAGTGGCTTTAGTTTTAGGACAACCCTCCATGTCAGGGATTTTACCATCAATAGTTCAGGATGAATTGGCACTTCCTGACATAGATCTTGCTTGCATCTTGGAAGTTCTCCTGGACTCTCTTGAATTTTCTCAAAAGGAGAAAGCTGTGGCTAGGAATATCTTTGCACAAATCTATCTTGTGTTCTCACCATGTTTATACCTGAATTGGGAAACTTTGCTCACAGTCATTCATTCCTGGTTCACTTTCTGTTTGGACTATTGCAATGCACTGCACATGGACTCTCTTTCATGACGACTCAGAATCTACAACTGCTCCATAATATATAGTTATGGTCAGGGCCGGATTTTCCTATAGGCTAACTAGGCTTCAGCCTAGGGCCTCAAGATCAAGAGGGGCCTACATTCAAATGTTAGCAAAATTAAAATTACACTTTCACTATAGGTGAAAGGGCCTCATAAGTGGAATAGCCTAGGGCCTCTTTTCATCTAAATCCGGCCCTGGTTATGGTGCACCATGGTATGCTCATGTAACATCATTACTTTGGGAACTGCGCTGACTCCTAACAGGATTTTGAGTGCAATTCCAATGGCTAATTATCACCTGGGTTTGGGTTACTTATAGGATGGCCTATCACCAATTATTTCTGCCCATCCCACAAGTTTTGACAAAGCAGACATGTTCCAGATCCCTTCTATGAAACTATGATATCAAATGGGATCCAGAAGGTATACCTTCTTTTTTTCAACTCCTGCACTATAGAACAGCATTATCCTCAAATTTAGGTGGCCTTTTGCAAGATCAAAAATCTGAGATTTTTTTCCCTTTAATATTAGGCAGTTCTGTAATGGTTAAGAGGGACTGGCTTTGAATGTTTTGTTTTTTTATTTTTTGTTCTTAGCCCAATTTAATAATTTCAAGTATATGTTATACTTTCATTTAGATCTCTGCATTAATCAGATTGCTGTTTTTTTGCTTGACCACAGCAGAAGTTCAGCTTTCTGCTCCAGAAATTACAGCAAAATATTCCCTGAAAGCAAGCATTGGTTAGCCTGATTAATAAAGTTTAGGAAAATTAAAATAAGAATGGACTCTCCTCTTATAAATAAATGTCCTACAACACCAGGAAGACCACTAAAGGTCATACATGACCAGGCCTAGATTTAATGGCACCTGAGTAGCGACTAAGCACTGCTCAATACACAGTACACAGACAGATCTGAACCAGAACCTCTCCATTGATCTGCTGTATTATTATCCTTATCTCGTATTTGAACAAACTGTACCTTGTGAAATTCTACGCTCACGATCGGAAAACAACCCGCTTTAAGAGCCACCGGGCCTAATAATCACGAGGTTTGCATATCGATTTTACGCAGCCACCAAAAATAGCTGCCTCCAGCTATTCCAATTGCGAGAAACAAAAACCTTTGCCGTCTGGGCCTGAACAAGGAAGCAACCCAGCGAATGCAGACTGAGATAGCAGAGCGTTGCAAACCACTCACCGCTGCTGATGACTTCAAGCAATGCTGTCTCCTCCTCGTTCAAGTCACCTCTTTTTGGAAGCGCCATCGCCTATTTTATGTATATTCTTCCTTTTTCTTCTTTCCCCTCCCTGCCAACAGTCATAAAATGGAGTGTATTGGCACTGGAAACCGCGACCGATCAGCTGGGGCAACTCCGATGCTTCCTCTGAGCGCTTTACTAGAGCCTTTCCGCGCGCGCTCCAATCTCATGGCCCGTACCATCTTGTCACCGGGGAGAGGGGAGATTTGAAGGCAGGCTGACATGTAGAGGGTAATAATGCATCTCTTTACGGCACCTGAACTGCTTGCTCGGCCATGCATAGATATGCGAAGAACAAAGTAAAAGTTGCGATTTAGAATATACTAAACTGGCCAACCCGTCTTGACTGTGATCCATCACCCCCTCTTTGGTTAAAATGGTGCAGCCTAGCCGTGAAGTAGGCGGAGCTCAGACTGCTTTGAGGTGTCAACGTGCTCGCCCTTCACTTTTCCATTGTGTGCGGAAGCGGGTGTCGTGTGTCTTGCTGCTTTCTCCTTAGACCAGAGCCTCTTCCCAGGCAGAGGTAAGCGAGTGTTGGGTTGTGGGGAACCGACGCCTTGAGCAAGAAAAGGGCAGAAGGCGAAGAGGAGGAAAAGCTGAACGAAAAGAGTTTGTGGCTGCTGCAAGGCACAAAGAGAGAGGGGGCAGGAGGCATAATTACTCTGGCTTTAAAGGGCATAGAAATAGAAAGACTCGTGCCTTTTCCGACAGGTTCGACTCCTTAGCTAATCAATTAGCCAGGCTTTGGGCTAAGGGCTTTCGAGCGACAGCAGCAGCAACACCAGCGGGAAATTTTTGGAGGCGAGAGCAACTTTGTGTTGGAAGAGGTGTACGTGCGTGACTTTAGCAAGGTGATATGAGACAAGAACATCGCGCTGGGTTGGAAGCAGCAGTGGGAGCTTTTAAAGCGTTTATTTGTGCAGCTGCTTTTGCGGGAGGGAGGGCCAGAAACTGTCTTTGCGTGGGGATTTAAAGGCCTCGTAATAGGGATTTGGAGTGGGGGGAGCACAATTCAAGGTCCCAAGACTGCTTCCAGCTGCTTGCTAAAATACAATAGGAAGAAACGTGTTGGCACCGAAGTAGCACCGGAGGGAAATCAAAGACGTGCCATTTTTTCTTTATCTCTTTGGGGAAACCCTGCACTTGGTGAAACGCTTATAAACGAAGGAGGTGTTTTGTAATATCCCAAAAGAAGGTTCAGGTTGCTTGAGAAAGCTTCCTTTGCAGTGCTACGGATCCGATGGTTGGGAGTATTTAAAACCAATCTGTCTCTCTGCGGGGCAGCGGGACATGCTGTTTTATTACAGGAGCGCCGTTGACATCCAAGAAACCTCAACCAGAGAAGTATAAATTCCATTTCTGTAGCATTTTATGATAACCTCAAATATTAGATTATTTATCTGACAGTAAATTACATTCTAAATTGTCATGTGGATTACATATATCTGTCAGAAGGAGCCCATGTATGAAATTTAGAATGTAATTCATTAATGTACAGGTGTTTTTAAATATATAATTCAAAGTGATTGAGATTTGTGATAAAGGGGGTAAGTTGGGGGGATAACAAATGTCTTGAAGATTCCTTGTACCAAACAAACTTTTAATCTCTGTCACTCTGAATGCTTTTTTTTAAAAAAGTTGCACCCTCTGTTTAGATTTCTATGGGTTTGTTTGAGGGCATTCAAGTTTATTGAAGAGCCTTGGTGGTGCAGCAGACTAAAGCACTGTTAAGTAACACCAGCTGCCTGCAATTACTGCAAGTTCAAATCTCACCAGGCTCAAGGTTGACTCAGTCTTCCATCCTTCCGAGGTAGGTAAAATGAGGACCCGGTTTGTGGGGGCAATAAGCTGACTTTGTATAAAAAAGAACACCGCTTAGGGGGGGCTGAAAGCCCTATTAAGCAGGTATATACAAAAGTATGAAGGCTATTGTTTAAGGCATTGTAAGCCGCCCTGAGTCTCCGGAGAAGGGCGGCATATAAATCGAACCAATAAATAAATAAACAATAAATAAATATTATCTGTTCTTATATCTTAACTGAGTAGGAGAAGACAATTGGCTTAAAAGTAATATTAAAATTATTCACAAGGTTTACGATTCCATTGAAAGATACTGTAGCAATCAACCAGTATTGTAAAGTCAGAGATTTCATTTGAGATTGAACAGATCTAGGATGATATCCAGATAAATTAAGATTGATTTATAAAATTAGAGTTTCTTGCTTTTATTTTTCCTAAGGGTTAGTAGAAATTCCATTCTGCAATTGTGATTTATTTTAGTGGAATACCTTCTGAATATGACTTTGAACTCCTTTTTAAAATTTAAAATGTCACAAATGCAGTATTAAAACTATATAATTTAACATTTGGTTTTATTAAACAATATAGTAAAACAAAGCTACTTTTTAATATATTTTATCTTTCAGTTGTAATATTAGAGATTTCAATTGCTTAGCTATTAGAGATTTTTCTATAGCTTGCAAATAATTCTGAGCAGCATTTTATACTATTGATTGTGTTAGGCTAATTACACAAGTTTAGTAGTATTTTCAAGTAGATGCACTTCTGCATCCAACTTGCATCCAACATCATGTATCAAGCATTCTCATGGAGAGTTGCAAAAGTGGGTAGAGATGAAGGAAAGAACCACCATCCTTGCAAATAGGTGTGATTGGGTGTAATTCTCTCCAAGAAAACCTGTGTAAAGCTTTCTGGATCAGGTAATATCCAGTTTGTGTAGTGATTTAATCACCAGGCTAGAGACCAGGAAACTCAGTTGTACTTTCAGAAGTCACCACTAATTTAAATGGGCACACATACATGAAAGATCTTCTAGTTTGCTCTTTGTTTTTTATTCTTTGTTCATACTACCAACCAGTTTTTACCAATTATTATCAAAGATGATTATCAGATCCAAAGGTAAAAAGCTAGAGCATCTTGCTGATCTCAGCTGAAAGTTACCAATCCCCTTTAATAAGGGATTATAGTCTTTTCCACTTTGTGGCTATGTTTATCTGGAAACTATAATTTAAGATTTGTAATCCACCGCAACTAAGATTTATATTATTACAGATGAATTTGTCAGGTGATAATTTACTACCTTTTGTACAGTATTTCTTGGTACTTTATACTTCTTGGACCATTATTTAAGAAAAATGCATCATAGTTGCATGATTATAAACTAGGTGTGCAGTGAAGTTAATATTGTTCATAGATCGATTGATAGACATGTTTGAATTGGAAAAGTTGTTACCTATTGTTTTCTTTCTAATAATATTACGAAAAGGCAATCCATCATCCTGTCCTTAAGTTCTATATTAAACTACACAATGTAGTGCCTACAGATAAATGCAACTTCTGCTATTGTTTTAATCTTTCTCCATTGTGTAACATTGGACAAACATAAAATTGTCTTTTCAGTACTGCTTCCTTTTCATTGTGCTTTCTTTTCAAAAGGTACAAAATATTATGCCACTGAAGATTAAGGGATAAAATTGTACAAAACATTTGTATCTATTTTGGGCAAGTGCTATATTATTTGGTAAATACAGTAATTATATCAAATATTGATTCAGCTATAATTATATGTCTAGATTCAAATTAAATCACATTTGGAATAGGCCTACTACAATAAATAGGACTTAAACTGCTCAGGATTTCCCAGGCTCTATTTAAAGTATATTAAATGTACATACAGTTTGCTTCTTAAGTCAAAAGTACAGATTTAATGCCTCTTTTTTCCTTTATAAAGAGTGCGTGTTTTACATTAAAAAACATAAAATTAGTGGACTTGAAAGAGACACATTAAAATAGCTATTCCTGTTCAGAATAATGCCATAAAAAGATAACTGATAAATGAAGAAATCTGTCAGTTAATTTACCCCCCACCCCAATAATATCCTTCACCACCAATAAAATGTATTTGAAGTTAATGTACAATAAAGAGTATTTAATTTATTGATTAGCTTTCCTGGTAAAAAGATGTTTCAGGTGAGTGCCCATAGCAAGTCACTCAAATGATACATGAAATAAGATAAATACTGGATAAAAATGTCAGTCCTGTTGCAAATATATATATATTATATATATGTGTGTGTGTGTGTGTGTTTTCTGAGGTTTTCGCGGGTGTTTGTATGTAGGTCTTTGGTTATTCGGGTTTTCTCCCGCGTAAAATTGGAAGTGTCTTGGCGACGTTTCAACGAAGTCTCATTTGTCATCTTCAGGCTGGTGTTTTCGGCTTCATGCTTCTAGGAGCAATGTATGATCGCAGCTGTTTCTTCCTTTTAACTGCCAGTGGGGGTGTGAACTGATTGGGTGGGAGCTTGGCTGTGTTCTGATTGGGTGGAGGTGTGTTCTGATTGGTTGGGGGCTTGGCTGTGCTCTGATTGGATGGGGGCTTGGCTGTGCTCTGATTGGATGGGGGTGTGTTCTGTTTGGGTGGGGGCTTGGTTGTACTCGGGTTAGTCTGAGTTGCAGGGGGATTTGAGCTGGTGAACTGCATTGCTGCCGTTTGGCTTCGGGTTTGTGGCCGTGCCACATCTTCATGGTGGGTGTCAGCTTGCTTCATTTATGGAATGGAGGGGTTTAAAGTGGCTAATGATGCAGCTGTGGTCTGGCTTCTGGTCTGTGGTCATGCCTCATCATTGGTGTGGGCCTGGGTCTGCTCCTTGCGTGGACATGTGGTGACATCCTGTGTGGCCTTCGTGAGTGAGGGTCTGGTGTTACTCTTTGTGTTAGAGACTCGTTTGTCAATAAGGGCGGGTTTCCAAATGGCTGGTAGGCGGGAGGTATCATCTCGTTTATTCATGCTGTGTGGGCGTTTTTCTATCTCGATGGCTTCTCTGATTATTCTGTTGTTAAAGTGTTCAGTTTTGGCGATAGTTCTGGTCTTTTTAAAGTCAATTTCATGTCCTGTGGCTTTGAGGTGTTGGACCAGGGAAGAAGTTGGTTCCTCTTTTCTGACTGAGTTCTTGTGTTCTTCAATGCGTGCACTTATTCTTCTGTTGGTTTATCCGATGTATGTGGTGGGGCAGGCGGTGCATGGGATTTCATATACTCCTTGATTTTCTAACTCAATTTTGTCTTTGGGGTTTCTTAGGATGGTGGATATTTTTCGATTTGTGCAGAATGCTCTCTTTTTTTTTT